ATTTTATATGAGCTACGGCCATCTTGTTCATAGTATGTTCTACGTATTTTCTCCCATAAACTTGTTGAATTTAAGAACGCGTAGGCATTTTATTATTAATGATCAACAATGAAAGCTAAGAGGATTGGTTTCACCTTGCCGGTGTTGTTATGGAGATAGGCTCCTCATTAATTTAGCATAGTTTCCAGTTCCCAGTACGTGTGTCTCATAAATTACTGTTATAATCACATAAAATGAAAAGCTTATCAGTTTTTAAAAATTCGACAGTGTCTATGATGTTTTTGCGAAAAAATGCATACATAATATCACGTCTTTAATCCCCTAAAGTCTGTTGGTACATTGTTATCTAGAAGTCGTCTTTAGCGAAACAAATATATACATATGTCTATAAATTGCCGTCCCATTGCCGTAGACAGAACTCAATTCCAGACTGTGAACTTTGAAATGCGACACATGGTAATGCATTTGGCAGACTCGGGATAAATTCCGAACACTTTTACTCGTCGTATGGTAGTAGTAGTTACTCACGGCAAAACACAATATCATTCCAGCATTCACATCGCAACGAGCCACCAAATAAACAACACAACACCTGTTGCTAAATAAATTGCACTTAATTAAACATTGATCCTTTTACAAAGTTGAGCAGTTTGTAGTTAAGATACAGTTTGCACGATACCATCTTAATTCAGGCTAAGTTGTCACTGGCCGGAGCTAAGTGGATTGTGGTGTCCACTCCCACTGGACCACATTATTTAATGTCGCATTTATTTTGTTACTTGATATAACACGCAGCTTTAGGCAGAGAAGGATAAACTATGAGTGATGTGTAATAAAAAAAAAACTAATGGCTTTTCTTAATTTGTTTTGGATACGGCACCTTAAAAGTATTGACATTCAGGTGAATCTATTTAAAACTTACGCCCGAATACTGAAAGCCTACTCAATTTTGAGTTGTACTTAAATGTCGTGTAATTTGTAGGGACAGATCTATACTTATGGGCCCAAACACATAACGGCGTTGCGGCGCCGCGCCGCTAGAATCGACAGTAGCGTCACTGCCGATTTAAGCGGCGCGGCGCCGCAACGCAGCGCTCGTTCTAGCATAGCAGAGTAATGTCTTCTTAATAACAAATAAGCAATAAGTTTATCACGATGGTCCATGGCAGAGGCACGTCTATCCACAATAAAAAATCACGACGAACTAGTTACCCTACCGAACGACAATAAAACGCTCTTTTTCACGACGCCGCAACGCAAACTGCCGATTTTAGCGCTGCGGCGACGCAACGCGGTTGTGTGTTTCGGCCCTAAGCGCGACTTAAACTTGAGTAGCGTTTTATTATTCGCAATAATGACTGTCATAGATGCGGCCACTATTTCTGTTTCTTCAATAGAGAAAAGTGCTCGGTCAAAATAATCCTGTAAATAAGCTTCCAAGCCACGGTGAAACTTAAACCATTATTTATAGACCAACCCAACGATATTTTTATCTGAATTTCCAGTTATTCTAGGAGCATAAACTCTTACAACATTAATCATTCAAGGAAAAGTTTTGACAAATTATGCAATTTAGCAAATTAATGAATTTCCTTGCAACATGTTAAGCTTGCACATTATGCAAATAGTTAAGTGATTATAATGACCGGTATGAATATTCTGTGTATTTATTTATGTAACATTTGACACAGATAAATACTTATTACGATATGAATAGAGATAAGTCAGTCATGTATGTTATTTGTATTGAAAGAATTATTCAAGAGTCTTGCGTGAGGTATCCGCTTGTCGTTTCACTTTTATAATGTGACGCGAATGTATTTCTATTTGGTGTAATGTAAAGCTGAGATTTATTCAAAATTCTTTTAGACTTCATACCGTAAACAAAATTGGTATATTGCCGATTCGCGTGGGTTGCAGTTATAAATTAGCGTTAGGTGGTAGTATTTAGGTTTGCAACCCGACATTATGCTGAGATGAGGCATTTTTGACACAATATTGTTTCATTATTTTGTTGTTAGCATTTAATGGGTTCTCCTAAGTTTCTAGTGCCAATAAACACATATTTTTTTCTAATTGGAAAGGTAACTAAATACAAAAAAAATTTGAATAGCAATTAGGAATTTGTTCTAGTATCTATTCACCAATCCAAATCTATTTATTCAGTTTTATTGTTATTTATGTACTTACTTGTTGCTTCTATACTCAAGCCGATTTTTTAATCATCAGTTCATTCTTAACTGTAGAATTAAATTGGAAGAATTGTCAAATATTCAAAGTTATTTAAGTTAAAATTTATCTGGTGTTGGAAAAATCGACTCTTAGGCACAAAGTCATAAAATTTTTGTTATATTTACATTTCATTTAAGAAAGTAGGCTATCTTTTCATCAGGAATTCTCGTGTCAAGCTGTTGATAAGAATTCCTTTCACGAAATATTATCACATAATCAACGTAAGTCAGATAATAATGTTCAGTAGTAAGATATCGATCAATGTTCTGAAACAGTGTGATTAAATATTTTCAAATAACGGTTTTGGTTTCTTTTATAAAAGAAAAGCTTTTTATTACGTCACATATATTATATAGATTGCACTGCACATATAAGACATTTCTGCTTACATAACTTTTATATCAGACAGTATTATCGTATATAATAGGTCCGTCTTTTAACCAACCCCAAGGACAAACTCTTGGCGCGTATACTAAGAATATGGTAGTATCTTAAATTTTAATTTAATGTCCGTCTGGTAGGTTATTTTCATTTTACTATGAAGAATTTCCCAATATCTATTCACCCCTCTTTTGCCTCTATTCACCTCTCGATCCCTATTCCCCCCATTTTACGGTACTGATTTGAAATATCGTGTGACGTTTAACAGCATTTTATAGGATAGCGTGACGTAACGACTTCTCCTGAACTTAACCGTTTTATCTTAGCATTCTTATACAACGAAATAAAAAAATATGTGTCTAATATTACTGGTAACCGATTGACTAATTACATTTTTAATTTTCATACACTGTCTCAACCAAACCATCAACTTGACACTGGACTAACAAGACAGAAGACAGCTTATTATTGTAGAAAATCTTATTATCCATTCAGACTTTTATTTTACTCGTTATCCAGTAAAATTTCTCTTGAACCGCTCTGAACTCCACGTGCCTACTCCACGGTAGCTTACTCTAAAGTGGGCTTCATGCGTGTTCTTAAAAACTCTCTTTATACGATCACGTTTTGTGGTCGGATCTCAAAATACGCTTAGCAACCATTTTTTTGCACATTCCAACGGAAAAGACAACCTGTTCTTTTGCATAGTCCCAACGGATTCTAGATGTAGTTATATTATTATTGTATATTTTTTAGAGATGATTGGATTTTGAATGCTAGCATTTGTAAAAGCATATGGCAATAGCCTCACACATATTACATGGGACTCCTAACATGAAAGTGTAAAGTGGGTGTTACATTATACATTGGCATTAGATGCTGTAATGTGCACCTCTGCCTGGTGTTCGGGCATAAAAGGCGTGATGTTAAGTTATGTACTTCTGAATAAACCAAATCGACGAACAGGTTAGGAGGATTAAAACCATGAACACAAACCAGCACTAAACAGAAAATATATTCAGGGCATCATGCTATTAAGCATAAAATATTAATGTAATAATCCTTGTTTATGTTGTCCGAGTTTAACTTTAATTAAAATACACGTTTCTTTGAGTTTATTCATCATTTTCATTAGTAAAAAGTACCGCAGCAATGAAAACGTATCGTTGTAATTTAATCTAAGTTACGAACGTGCAGTCGCTAAACGCTAATTACGTTTTTAATAAGTTCCACCTGACCTCAACTCAACTTTAGCAAAAATACATCTATTCTGACTCTACAAAGGGCAATGACCGGACCATGAGAATTCACATTACCTTAATGTGAACGGTAGTACCAAAATGTACATAATACTCTCAGTAATTACAAGTGTGCGTACAATTTTTTTTTCATCGCAGAACATCAATATAATTTACAGCTAGACATGACTCGTCGATTGCTACTTTATAATACACGCAGAATAACGTTACATTTTAACCGAACCACGTGAAAAGAAATTGTAAACATATAGTGTCAAGAATCTTTGGGAAACATCGATACATGCCGGTCATGTTTGGTCATCGACAGAAATAACGTCAGCTACCATTGTGACATTTACAATTTCGACTTAATTTACCTTCGCATCAAGTGAGGCCGTAATTCACATTCAAGGCGATTTTACTGTTGATTAAAGCGTTCGCCAGGAAGTAAAACGCAACTAGTTTCGCACGTAAAAACCGTATATCAAACGCCTGAACATTCCCCGTTTCGGAATGTAACTGTTACATCAAATTGCTGGGCAAGGCTCGATACCACGTTGTTGAGATTGACGCGGCCCTAATAATAGAGCGCCGTGCGATATTCATCGCTAACTGTTCTTTGATTGAACATCATCGCTCGTTCAACGGCTAATTATCAGAGATACGCCATCATCGCACGGATCTTACCTCAATTGAAATTCTTACTTACAGGTCAAAGCTAGTCATGATATTTGCCGCCTTTCAGATTTGAGCTTCACATTATCTCCGTTCAAAGACTACTAAACAAAACCACTTTATCGAGTGACCTACTAATAATGCGATTGTTACTGAAAAGTATTAGATATCAACACAAAGCCTTGTAGCTAACAGATCAAATTCCGAAGTCCTTGCGGCTTCTGACGCAAGCATTTCGTAACTTAACACCAAAACGGTGAATGCACTTGCGAGTAGGTTGCGAAGCTGCGGCACGCCCGGGATCCTACTTTATTAAACGACACTATCACGAATTCGGGCCACGATTCACTACTTTAACCAAGATAAACTCACTTGTATTAAGACGTGAATAAATATCCAACTAAACTCGTAAATGAAACCTGTTAGCAATAGAATCTGACACTTATAAAGAAATACGCTAAAGTATTTAGCTATTTATTGGTCCATACTAATTAATGCAAATGAATGCACAGGGTAAATTTCAGTTGGGAAACCTTCTTGGATGTCAGTTTTCACTATCTTGAGTCTGGCTTCGGAGAATAATGTTTGTAGTAGCTCTAAAGGCCGTGTTACTGATGAGTCAGTCTCATCGTAGTCCAGTTCTTTAGATGTTGTTATATTTTCCTTAACTACTAACACACCATTCTTGTTCAAAGACATTCGGCATCTCTCGAAGAAATCAATCAAATCATAATCCTTCAAATGCCCAGTTACCCATTGGCACCAAATGACATCATAGGTATTTACTGGCTTAAAATTCTGAAGACCATTTTGGTATAGTGTTCCTAGCTTCTCATTATCCTTTCCAATGAATTCTTTTGCGGTTTTTAGGAATTTTTCATCTTGTTCAACTAAATCGACTTTTTCGAATCGTGGGAGTAGTACGTACTTGGTAACTCTGCCGATACCCGCACCGCAGTCCAATGCTAATTTGGTATCAGGTGGGTTTTCGAAGGAAAGTACGGCATCTAAGAACGCCTTGGATCCTTCGATATCGGTTTGTGAGATGTGACCAAAGCCTCCGAGCACTCCATCGACCGTTGCTGGTACATTCGCCCAATATTTTGCTGCTCGAGAGTAAAATAGACTTTCGGTCATTGCGTCATTTTTGAATAACTTCAACTCAAAATTACAAGACTGCCACATTACACTGCAATTTTTTGTCGACAACTGTTATTGATGTCACTTTTGACGTTTTCTTTTTAATCAATTTAAAAGTAAATCAAGGAATTTACACTTCCCACCAAAAAAAGTATTTGCTTGCAAATAAACACAACATAAGGTCCCTTACTGCGATACTCAACTAACAGACATAAACTATTCCTTAGTAACGATTTTGTTCAAATATTTGCTAAGGACTAGGTTAAGTAGCCATTGAATGACTCTGAGTAAGGCGGTTAGAGTATTTAATCAACTAAGACCCTTAAGTTGTCCTTATTTATTGTACTAATATAATATTTTCTTTTGCTTCAGGCTCTTATAGCGGCAGTGAATGAGACCCCGGAGGAGGACATCCGCGATGCTCTGAAGTCGCAAACAGAGCATCAGCTGGCACTCGTTCCACGCGGCCCCAAACTCGTCAAAGATACAGTCGCGTACAACACTACTATCACCACTGATGATACCGTAAGTGTTCATGAACCTTTATTAGATCATTTTTATTTTTGTTTATTTTTTTAAAAAAAAAAAACGTTTCACACTGGGATTTTCTTCTGTGCCGTGATGTTAATAGGTCTTTGTCCAGCTGTGGAAGTCTTCCTGCTGTTGTTGATGATGATAGTGATGATATGATCGGTTAATAGATATTCTCTATAAGCTGAGAACAGATGTTTAAGGCTCTGGATGGCAAAGGTCATAAAATCGCTTAGTTACTATAAATCACTACATAGTATATAACAAAGTTGCTATCCCCCGTCTGTCTGTCCCTATGTATGCTTAGATCTTTAAAACTACTCAACTTATTTTGATGCGGTTTTTTTTAATAGATAGAGTAATTCTTAAGGAAGGTTTATACATATAATACATGCATATTGCACCCGTGCGAAGCCGGGGCGGGTCGCTAGTTGAAAATAATTGACAAAAGTGCGTATTACATACGTAGGTTTACCTCTATACAGTGTGCTTTTCAGTATCACATCATATTTTCGGTAACTAAAGGCCCTGACGACGTTTTGCTAAGAGATTTGCTGTGAAAATAATCTTGAAGACACCATTACATTAAAAAATCTTTAAAAATTTAAGTTCCGTAGAGCAAACATTCATTCATTGTTACCATTAAAACTGTCTAGACAAATAAACAGAACTTTTGTTGCACAAACAGATGGTCAAATACGAGGTCGAGGATAGTTACAACTGGAATAATAAATGTTAACCAATTTTGTACCTTATTGACTCATAACGGTGTTTACCACATTTCTATTATTTGCCTTGTTATTGGCACCTGCTAACTGAAATTCCAATTTTATTTAATACCAATATTCTAAGCAGAAAATCAAATACAAATTACCTATCTATACCAAACTCGCTAATTCGATGAGTTGATTTTTTTTGGTTTCTTCGAATCAATAAAAACTAGTACGAGGTCGTTGTTTTATTGTTGACTTAGCAATTGACCTGTATCCGAAATTCTAAAATGGGCAGGACTTTCGAAAAAGGACTATAAAGCTGTACCTATATGGTCTAATTTAACTTGACTAATTTGGACTTCAATATCTTTTTACCGTGATTGACCTAATGAGCCGAAAACAACATCAGTGAGCCCTGACAGTCCCCTCTTGACCTATGTGTCTCTTCATAAGAGGTTTACCGTAATCTCAATGACTATGAATCAATGACTGCACGGCTGGTGCGGTGGCTGGACAACCGGCTACCGTGCAGAATGACAACGTGTGGATAATACACATTGTTGTTTAGGGTGTGTGTCATGTGTATGTGAACTTGTATGTTTGTAAATGCACTCATGACACAGGAGAAAATGTTAGTTTGGGACAACGATTTTTTTTTAATCTTTATATTTCGCATAAGGGTCGGAGAAACGGCATTTCAAAAATAATGACCCATAAGCGTAAAGTAAATTAATCTTTTTATAATCCATACTTAGCTAATGTTATTTGTTGGTCTACAGGAGGAATTACGGGCGCTACGTCCAGATGGGACGATTGTGACGGAGACACGACACACTAAGGAACAAGAACGAGTTTGCGACGAAGAACTATCTAAGGAAGAGGTAAGAATATTTATTTCTAGTTACTTGTGTTTTGAACTGCAGGTTTTATAACGTAAGGATGAATTAGAAACTTACCTCTATAACTTATATGGAAGTTTAAATAGTGCAATTATCTGCTTAATACGTTTTAATTCTTTTAGAATAGAATACCTAGAATAAACTTTATTGTACACCATTAATAATGTAGTACATACAATAAAAGGAAATAACAAACATAAATAAAAATAATAATGGACACAAAGGCGGTCTTATCACTTATACTGATTTCTACCAACCTTTGGGTGAATATAGTGAAAAAGAACTATTTTGACCCTTTCAGGGTAAAGGTCACAATTGAAGTTAATTATCATTCATTAGTTTTGAACTTGGACCATTGTTTAATATAGAAATCATGTTAGTTAATCAAGTGTGGGACAGCCATACTTTGGCACAAATGGGCCGGCTCGACCGGAGTGATACCACGGCCTCATAGAAAACCTATGTGAAACAACGCTTGCGTGGTGTTTTGTCGTGTGAGTGAGGTTACCGGGGGTTCAATTACCCCCCCCCCCCCCCTCGTATCTCTAACAATCCTCAAATTCGTAATCCCTAAAAGGCCGGTAACGCACTAACAAGTGCGTACGCCTCTGGTGTTCCGGGTGTCCATGGGCGACGCCGATTGTGATAGCACATCGGGTGATCAGTCTACTCGTTTATCGGTTTATCTCATAAAAAAAGTTAACTTAATTCCTCTACACAGATACTTAACTTAAAAAATAACAACACAGTTCCTAAATCTCTGTAGCTACTTTCTAATAAAACAATGAAATTAAATTGTAAAAGTAAAAATATACTTCGTGCTTACTCTCAACGGCACAATCATCATTTATCATTTTTGTCTACAAGTTGTATCGATTTCTACATAAAACGTAATGTAATCAAATGACTTACTATTAAATCACTAGTAGATTTTTTACTCGAAATATTCGATGGTGGTTTAGTAATATACCTACACTTTCTTTTATTTTTTACCTAATATTGACATGATTGGCGTACGGAGGACAAAATATATAACACTAACAGGCCGTCCCGGCTTCGCACGGGGTAGACAATTATTTATTTTTGGAAATTTGGATTGTTGTAGTGACATAACTACAATAGTTGGACATAATTATGCTACCGCGGAGTTTATGTAGACATTATGAAGTTCATCAATATTGTTGTACATTATTTTGTTCTATCGCTAATAGTTTCGGCAGCGCATTCGACGAAAGACATTTTAAGACTCATTTTTCTACACCTTCGGTTACATTGTTCAAATTTTACCAAGGTTCCATAATTTTTTTCAAACTGAAATATAGCCTATGTCAAATTGGAAGAATGTAGCATTCTATTGGTGAAAGAATTTTTTAAATCGGCCCAGTACTTTTTGAGCCTATTCATTACAAACATACAAAAATAGGTACAAATCTTTCCTCTTTATAATAGTATAGATAGACAAAATATATTTTTGCTAATCGAAACACTATCGACTGTGTGGTTCTAATAAAAAAATAATAAAGCCAAACAATGTACGAAAACGCTCTTGCTAAAGTTGGTAAATACTCGTATTAAATTAGGTCAAAATGAAGAAATAAGACTCAGTCTTTAGAATTGTTTTATAAGAGTCTCTATAGCGAAAATGAGTGTTCCTGAAACAGAAGATAATATTTAACATTCTGTGGTAAATTGTTATCCGTTCTCATCCCTTCGCTTCTTTCATGTATTAAAGTGATCAATAGAAAGTTCCGTTAAATAGTAATATTATTATTGTTGCCAGGCAAAATCCCTGCCAAGTGACAAGAGTGTCGTTGAAGAGACGAGTGGTACGGAGCGGCGGAAGCGAGTAGATCTTGAGCACAGCACTGATCTAATGGCGGGCGGCTTGCGGGTCGCTACGCATATCAATTCGCGGTCTCGCACTGAAGAAGGTTTGTATTCAACATAAATAATTATCCTGGTACCAGAGCCATAGCCAATCTATATTTTGTTGGAGTTTAATCTTATTTTGTGGCATTAAAATCAATATCTATTGCGTTTTTTTGCATATTTGTAGTTTTTTGCATTTTTTGCACTCGATGTTATTAGCTTTGTAAAAATACTACTGATTTTACTAATTCCATAGATATATTGTAGGTGTCTAAATAAATTGTGAACACTTTTCGTACACAAGTAATGTACAACTACGAACATTCCATGATAAAAATTAACTGATCCACTCTTTCTCGTTGTAAGTAAGTGCTATTTTGATTAATTAAAATTATAATATTTTTACAGTTGAAAGAGAAGGACAGCCTAACATGGATGATGACTGGGACAGTTTGTCAGTCAGAATGAGACGCCAGCGACGCCTTCGCCAAGTCGGTAAGTGTTGGAACTAATTAGTTCTGTAATTTACCACTAGGTGGCTTTAACAATGAATTTAGTTTTGCTACTCGGTGATAGATGGCGTTGTTAATAATACTGTGATGAAGCTTTAGTTTGTGATAGTGCCAACAGATGGCGCATAAATTGAATTAGATTTTGACGCATTTTCTCTAGATAATTGTAAATAATATAATAATAATAATAAAATAAATGCTACAGAATAATAATATGTTAGTAACATAAAATACACATTTCTTAATACAATAGGTGTGGTACAAAAGTAATAAAAGCTAGCTAGCTTGACAAGTCAACCTGTTCATAAATTAGCAAAACTAAACATCGAATAAATTAAAAGGAACATCAATCTTCACTCCACAAATTGCTAAATTGGCAAAACATAACAATACAACCTCGTATAATATTATATCTCCCTTTTACGACTTTATAACAAAAGTGTTACATAATATCTTGAAGTGTGATTATTTATGAAGTCGAAGTTTGCCATTCTTTACTAAATAAGTTCATTCATGAGAATCAACCTGTTTTGTGCGACTTTATGTAAATGTGTTTATAGTTGAGTCGCGGCCATATTTAGTGTCAGCCTTGGTGGATCAAAGAGTTCCGTATCTAGAAATTGTAGAATTTAGTGTGGTACACACGGCCACACATCAATCTATACAAAACCAGTTTATCCTGGTGTCGCGTCGCATCATTTTTCCGCACATTTAACGTTCAGTTTATACTGGTTATGTAAAGCTCGATGTGTAGCCGTGTGCACCTATTGTATTTTACGCACATTCCATCGTTACTACTTGAAAGAATAAGCATCAAGGTGAATTTTAGTCAGTCAGACTCTTTCTGACAGCCCCTTTCAACGTCACCAGAGTATGTAAACTTTATATAAAAGTCGATCAAACAGTCTGTAATGGAACATTTAGTCTAAAACCAGGTGAAATACAGTATGCCTACTAATTTAGAAACTTGTAGTAGTAAGAAGTCTGGAATAGATACCCAAGTACTTAAGTAAATGATGAAGTATCGGTATACCTTTATTTATTATTAGCTACTTCCGCGCGGTTTCAGTCGCTCTGCTCAGCGCCTATTAATCGTAGCGAGTTATTTTATAGCCTATAGCCTTCCTCGATAAATGGGCTATCCAACACAGAAATAATTTTTCAATTCGGATCAGTAGTTTCGGAGATTAGCGCGTTCAAAAACAAAAAAACAAACTCTTCAGCTTAATAATATTAGTATAGATTTATTAGGCTTCAATCTATGACTCGAGTGTTTAATGATCATTATTAAACATGTTATAATACGTGTTAACATCAAATCTACCCACACAACAAATGAATAACGCGCAATTTATTTCTTGCACGCATACCTCATTCAAAATAGAATCTTAATTAGTTCGAACATTTAAATCATGTATGATGAATATAATTTAAATTAATCTTATTGGTTGAATAGAATAAAGGTATTTGTAACAGCCAATGAGAATAGTTGTCGTAAACGCGTCACGGTAGTTATAAAGCAATAACTAGTTGCCTTAAACGTTCATAGGGTATTATATGGATAGGCGCCGTGGGCAGTTGTCGTAGTCAGACGCAATTACATGTATACCTTACTTTTAAATAGTTTTATAATGATGTTAAGGTTCGAACAGCTTAGTATACTTAGATTCCTTTGAATATTTGTTTCACGTAGTAGCACGGAGTCTGGAATTGTGCACAGTATATGGCAATAGGCTCACCCCCTATTACATGGGACTCATAACATAATAGTGAAAAGTGGGTGTTACATTGTACAGTGGCATAATGTGCCCCTCTGCCTACCCCTTCGGGGATAAAAGGCGTGTTGTTATGTTATGTTGAAATTCAGACAGGACCCTATTTAAATATTTCATATGAAAATAATCCTTCAAGGATATCTTGTAATTAATTTTAACCAGAAACCCAACAGAGGTCTGCTGCTCATGTCCCATTTTCAGCGCTTTTTAAATTGATTGTAGACCTTTTTTTTAAGAGGGATAATCATCGATTTACTGCTCCCGCCTGGGTGAGGCGGGAGGGAGTGTCAGACTCTTACTGACTAAAAACCACCCCGTTCCTTCTCCTGTACGTCGAGCCGGAGCCCCGGTTACCCGTTAGGTTCTCCGCGACTGATGGTAGAGCTTGGCTTTCTGGCATTCTAATAACTGTTCTTCGGCTTCTAATCTCTCATTTAACATAGACACCATACAAGTGGTCGTGTTCAAAGTTATTTCAAAACCACGTTTGTCTAAACTCCGCCTAAGGCGACGCTATCTTGGGTACTTCTTACAAATTGGTATGTAATGATTTAAAAGCTATTAGACTCCATTACATTATTAGTTTCATATAAAGTTATCAAGATGTTCAACACTTTATGTTGAACTTGATTGAAATATGTCCGATGTGATTTTGTTATTTATTGTTTTGGAGCGTTATTTCGTTTTTTTACGTCTAGTCGAGTTTTTTGGATTTGTGTAGATATTTTGTTTTTGTTTAGACTTGGTAAACGTATCATGTCGCATAGTAAAGTGGGTTTTTTAGACTAAACTGTTAATACGTATATAAGTGTGGGAGAGCTATGCTTCGGCACGAATGGGCCGGCTCGACCGGAGTGATACCACGGCCTCACAGAAAACCGACGTGAAGCAACGCTTGCGTTGTGTTTCGTCGTGTGAGTGAGGTTAGCAGAAGCTCAATTACCCTCCCCTTCCCCAATCTCCCCAATCCCTGAATCTCCAACGATCTTAAATCCTAATCTCTAAAAAGCCAGTAACGCCTCTGGTGTTTCAGGTGTCCATGGGCGACGCCGATTGCTTACCATCAGGTGATCCGTCCGCTCGTTTACCGGCTTAGGCCATAAAAAAATACAGTTTACTACAAAGTGATATAATAATAATATGTCAACATTATTTTGACAACGATATATGTTCCAACGATATGTAATTGCTTCGTCAATGATAGTACGTTTGCGTGACGTTATCATAGCGTAGCTCTATAGTATACACAAACAGTTTAGATTGTATACCAAACCGATCTGTGATAACCGAAAGTCTTAATTAATAGAAGGACACAACACTAAAACCGTCAACCAATAAATCAATAACAAAATCAAAATTTCGGAAACGAATCAACATAAATATCAATTTAACGTTTACGAAACAACGTATCAGATGCAAAATCGATAAATTACGTAATTTTCGTCAATCCATCAATTTTATAATATATTCATAGTTCTGACCAAATATACTAGTCTAGTACAGTTCCAGACGATAGATATGGCACATTGATTGACAACAATTTGGAAAGAGACAATTGATCAAGTCGCCGCGTATACTGTCTAGTGATTTTGAGCTACTAAAACTAGCTTCCTGCTGCTTCCTCTGGTGTAGCGGGTGTCCATCGACGGTACTAATTACTAACCATCAGGTGATCCCGTTTCCTTCCTATTGCGTAAAAAAAATCTGCCGACAGCTTATAATGCCCACTGCTGAGCAAATCCTCTTTTCATACGGATTTGAGCATTAATCACCACGCTTGCTCAATGCGGATTGGCGATTTCTAACTTATAATTAGAGATTATAAGCCCAGGTTTCACGACGTTTTCCTTCACCGTTTGTCAGTATGGTGTCTGAAGAACCCCATGTTGTAGCCCACTGGGAAAACCACGGCAGGTAGTACAATTGGAGGGTCCGTGGGAGAAAATTCCTCACATTTAAATGTGGGAGTGCCATGCTTCGGCACGAATGGGCCGGCTCGACCGGAGTAATACCACAGCCTCATAGAAAACCGACGTGAAACAACGCTTGCGTTATGTTTCGTCGTGTGAGTGAGGTTACCGGAGACTCAATTACCCCCTAGTCTCCCGAATCCCTGAATCCTCCACAATCCTCAAATTCCCAATTCCCAAAAGGCGGGTAACGCACTTATAACGCCTTGGTGTTTCGGGTGTCCACGGGCGGCGCCGATTGCTTACCATCAGGTGATCCGTCTGCTCGTATAGCGGCTAATGCTATAAAAAAAAAATTACACACAAAATTGTCTCCTTCCAAAAGTCGACGTGCAATATTTATCGTCAGGCACTGTTACTAGCGTGCTAGTGGGAACTGGCACACATACCGACCTTGTGGCTAGTTGCCCGTAGTTTACAACTATTGTTTGCATTCAAGTTGATCGATCGAGTTACTCAAGCATAGTGCGATATACAAGTGAATTCAATGCTCCTTCCTCATTGCAAATGACATTTACTGATTTAGTTTGGACGTGTGAGACAAATTGAGGAAAAAATGTATAATGCATGTTTTGTTTACTAATGCATTTTCGCGGACCAATGCTATTATGCTGTGCTAATAGTAAAACTGAATTTGATGTATGAACTCAAATAATGTTTTGCAGTTGAACTATGGTTATCGAAACTTTATATATAGTGATAGTACATTCTATGGAACATTGAGCTTTTTGTCTGTTTTCTGCATAAAAATAAATATCACCTTTTCAATATTAACTTGACACTAAATAGACTAATTTAGAAAAAGGTGATCTAGATTTTTATACCAATTTTATCTCTTAATATAAGTACCTACATAGGTAGATATAGTTCACTTTTCTAAAAGTTTTAGAAACAAAAAAAATAATATAAAAATAAAACAAATAAAAAATAAGACGCACGTTTGGTGCAGTGGTTGAGCAACCGGCTGTCGCGCAACGTGTCGTGAGTGCGATCCCGCACGCAGCAACTCTTTGTGTAATCCACAATTTGCTGTTCCCGGATCTGGGTGGCATGTGTATATGGACTTGTATGGTTTGTAAACGCACTCACGACACAGGAAAAAATCCTAGTGTGGGGCAACGTTTATAAAAATAAAAAATAAATAAAAATAAATAATAAAAAAAATCAATCAATGTTCTTCTTCGAATTGATAAGGACGTGCTTATTTCGTATTATGTAATCACTAAGTACAATACCCATTATTTTAATTCGATGCCATTGCTTGCTTCCTGCAAGTCGTTGGCAGTAGTATTTTATCGTCAGGTAGTACCTTACTGTACTTAGGTACTTTATGGAAATGTATAGCCGGCACAGTTACGAACCTACGCACTGTACGTAGGATGCCCAAAGTAGGAGTGAGGGTCGATACTTCCTGACACATCCGAGACAGATTCCAAGCCTTTACGTTTGGCTGTTGGTCGATAGACTCTATTTTAAAGTGCATTAGGTCAATAATGGCTTATAAAGTTGGAATTTTCATTTTCCTTGTATACCTAATTATTGAAGTAGGATAATTCACGAAGTATTGTATTAATAACTCAATATTAGCTTTATTACTTTAATTCTGCATGTACTACACTTTGCATTTACCTCCCGTTGGTAGATGATGATGATGATGGTAGAAACTCAAACTGTTGGTAACAAGTTAAGATAATAAAATTAAAATATTGACTGCACGGTTGGTGCGGTGACCGGGCAACCGGCTGCCGTGCAACGTGTCGCGGGTTCGATTGCCGCACGGAACAGCACTTTGTGTATGTGAACTTGTGAACGCACCACGACACAGGAGAAAATCCTCATGTGAGGCAATGTCTTTTTAAAAAAAAGAGCAAAAAAATTCTACATTTGTTTATTATTTTCTGAAGACAAGAGGTTTCGGCAGACGCAATCCTTCTGATAGAAAACTCAAAAATCTACCCAAGATTCTTTTGTCGCGTAGAATGAGAGAAAAATTATGCTTTTCATGCGGTTTCTGAATCAAAAATTCCTAAAAAGTTACATACAGCTCCAAAACATAATCTTAATCTAAATCTCAATGACACAGAACCTAGTCACTTTCCCCTACAAATCAGGTAGGTAAATTGTTTTGAGAACAATTAAGGAGTTAGTAAACACACATGTTCTTCAAACGAGAGTTTAATTGGCCAATTTAATGGTACATGCCCATCAAGTTGCCGCATATGGTAAGTCGTTGGGCCTACGCTCTGAGCTCGCCTTACAGATAGGAGGTTGAGACATGCCCAATGCCCATAGACCCGTTTACCGCAATATGATGAAAATGTTTAAAATATGGTGTTAAGGGAAATCTTGTGTATAGTTTTTGTGTGAGTTACGACTGTTTTTATGTTTCTCTATTTCTTTAGGTTCTGTAATTGTGTCATGTGATTTTATTGTTGTTCATAATATAAGTGTAAATTTCAAAATTAATGAAATATTTGTACGCCATGATAAATGGCAGACATGTCGTGAGCCACTTTTGTCTAAGATCTTGCATGCTGTATTATTTTAATTCTGTATGCAGACACATGTTTGAGCAAATAATAATTCTTATTCTTATTCATTTAGTAGGGAGGTACCTACTAAACTGTAGGTCGTAGTTTGATTAGATAAAAAAACAATGCTTTGATAATTACAATGTTATAAATTAATTTCGACCAAAGAACCATTTTTTCATGACCCTGATGTAACGGTGATGATTCAGCTCTTTATATTTGTGCAGCTGATAATGCAATAGGACTGATGTTGTATTTTATGAGCAAATTAATTTTATCCTTAGGGTGCGTCCACATCAGGCGAATGTGCAGCTCGCGAGTCGCTCGCGAGCAGCCCGCGTTTTGCGCTCATCATTGAAACTGATTATTTGCTCGCAAACGGCTCGCGAGCGGCATATTCGCGGCGCATTTCCCAGATGTGGACGCACCCTTTGGTACCGAAAATATTTATGTAAGGGTAGGTTGTTCTTTTATCTCTTTTTCAAGTCATCTTTGGCATAGTGTCACTACGATATAGGAAGCTAGAGAATGACATAGGCTATTTTATTTTCTTTGTTTGCTCAATCGACGGCGGCGCAGGAAACAGTTAATATGTTAACAATCCCATAAAATACCAAGAACCACAAATTCTACTTCGCATTTATATCAGCATTAGTTATCAGAATTTACAGTGACGTCACTTGGCGTATTGTCGTAAAATAACAGTACTGAACACTGAACAATAAGGTTTTAGCATTCAATGCTGCGGCATTAAAGTTCAGAAAGCATAACTTTATGGTTTTATGTTTTACCTAATGTGATTCATTGTGCTTCGTGTATTTATGGGTGAAATATGTATTGGGTTATTATTTTCTTTGCTTTTAATATATTAGCCACATCGATAGGTTCAACAAAAGACTGCAGTTCTTTCGAAAAGGCTGTGTTAAGGGGTCGTGGTGCTGTACATGTGCTATCGATGACCTGACTGCTCGTTTGCAGGTGTATAGGATAAGGGATCCTATAAAAATATTTATTTTCCTTTAATTTCGTAATGCAATGGTTGGTAAAAGTAGCGTTTATATTGATTTAGATGGAGATGTGGCCATGTGTGAAATCTGCGTTCGGTTTTCGAAAAATATCTTTTCACTTTTCTGTCTCATTAGTAGTGAACCTATTTTAAATGAAGCACCGAGGACCATTCTCGATTCCGTACTATTTAACAAAAAATAAAATGAAATAAATAATAAAATGATTGCGGTATATATCCTGTTCAACTTTTAGTTTCATTTGAATGTTCTAATAGAATTGGCTAACACATAAGCAAGAACGATGCATATCATAAGATAAAAATTTCTTCATAAATGGGTATTTAATCACACTTTTCGCAATGACGTTGAAGCTTATAGGGCGTGTAAACTTGATTGCGAAGATCGCCGGGTTCCGTGTGCCATGTTGTAATGTCAGCGACTTGTCAATCTTGCTGTTACAACTTTATTTATGTATGTAGGTAACGTCCTGACCGTAACCTGTCGGTGCCCTTTCAAGCTTAAAAAGGCCTTAATATTGTTTACGAACAACCGCTAACAATGAACATACTTCATCAAACCTTATTTACTACAGGTTTCTATTTGGTATCTGTAATGTATTTGTTTATTCATAATAATTCCCATTGACCACAATTTCTTCCCGCAAGTATCTCCTAAAATGGTCGCGAACTAAGAATAGAGATCTAAATACAATAGCAGTATTACCATCTAAGTTAAATGACCACCAAAGCTGACAACAATTATATAACACCATAACATAACGTGAAGCAATACTGACCTAGAAATTATCATTCAGTGAATAATATGCACGGTACTTACTGTCTAGTAGTTAAGTAAAGTTGTCTCGAGTATACATCCCATTGACCTTCGATAGTTTGGCAAACTTATTGACTGAATGATTACGCCATAGCGTGTGGTAGAGGATGCGACGCGTGCGCCACTCCACCGTGAGACGCAGCGCGCGCGCCCGCGCCGCCGCTCTGTTGCTCCGCGCTCATAGTATACTCTGTTTTCAGAACACGACAAGGATTACAAACGTCCCGTTGACTACGACATAGAGGAAGAAACACGCAAGAAAGAAACGTCAAAGTGGCTCGAGAATCACTTCGGCAGTGAATCCCGCTCCTCACATGACTCCATAGCTGAAGAGATTGGACGGAGACCGGACCCGACCTTCTACAAGAAGGCTGAAGACGAGGGTTACTACGGGAAGACATCATCAGTGCCACCACCGCCAGTGTATGGAGATCGAGTTCTTCGTAAAACGAAATCGTCGACGCCCTCTGACGAACGACCGGCAGCACCAGTGAACAGGACCGGTGGCTACTTTAAAGGTGTTGCTGACTGGTCACAGAGACGTGCCAGCAAACCCAGGATGCCTGAGCCACGTAGCTCGTCCCCATCACCACCAACAGTGCGTTCACCATATGCTAGTGACGATCGACTAAACGGCTCCTCTCCAAGGCATGTGTACGGGAAACGCGACTCGCCTCAAGGGAGGTCATCACCTATCGGCCGCCGCCACCCGCCCTCGCGCGACGACTCCGCCTACGTATCGTCGTCAACAATGCACAGTCCACCACGCGGCTCGCCTTTCCGGCCGTTAGATGCAGAGCGCTCGTTCCGCGAGCCCTCGGTCGAGGACGACTACCGGCCGATCGCGCCGGAACGAAAACGACCAACGAAACAAAGATTGTCTGAGGAGCATCGCTACGATAGTGGCTACAGAAGCTCATCCCGCAATGAAAATTCGGGAAGGTCACGCGATAGTCGTGAGGAGGGAGCCGTGGAGCCTCCACCAGATTATTCTCCCCCCAGAGAAAGGCGCGAAAGCTCAGACAGAGATCGTACGCCACCAAGGCGAAGGGATCGTGATGAGCGTAAACAAAATCAAAAGACTCGTTTTGCTGACAATGGACGGCGTCCATCGCCAGCGCGTAAGTCAGTGGGGTCTGCGATCGGTAACTCGATTCGGAAGTTGGTAGGGAAGATTCGATCTGCATCTGCGGAGCGACGTGCTCGATGGCGCAACTCTCGGACTCCGTCGCCGGAGCACTCATCGCGTACGTACAAGCAGTACGGTGGCGAGCTGGCGCCCCCCGTCGCGCCTCCGCACCGCTACTACCTCGGGGAGGACCCCTTCGCGCCCAGCATCTACGGCCGAGAGCACAAGTACGAGGGCAGTTCGAGACGCGCAGCCGCTGCCGACGCCCGTGATCACCGAGAAAGGTGAGCTTTTATCTACTTCCTATTGTAATAAAGACATCGATAAAATTAATTAGCTATTGTGATATAACAAATAATAATATGTGTCGCTACTTATTATGGGCCGATCAAAACAGCTTCCCGCGTTTATCTATTTTGGTAGTCGAGCATAAAGCTATGATCTTAGATGATAGATATTCAATTTTCATAAAAAAATGTAATCCAATGAGCCTTAAATAGAAGGTTGTCCCACCATGAGCCGTGTCCACCTACATAATGTACGAAACCTTTAATTAATGCTTTGTGTTTAGATTATCATAAAGTTACGGCGTTTTGATAGGAGCCGATAGTAATAAAGGTAGAGTTTGCTTTAAGTTGAAACATGTGGGTTGGACAAGGTTTCGTAAATCGTGGTAAAACGTAGTATTTTGAAAAGAGTATGTATTTGACTTATGTATGAGTTGTTTCGCCACACGGCGTCTGTTTGTTCTATTGTTTACATGAGCGTAGAGAGGTAGCTAGATTTACCTTGCAAGTCACATTCTTAGACTTAGTACGGATTACAATGAACAGTTGAACTCATTAGTACCATTTTCATACAGCTATTGTGTGGAAAGAACAGGCTCTTAAAGGATACAAAGGAAAAATGTTAGGATTTTTAAGCGAGTTTAGACTTAATTTTATTCTTATGTAGTTACATTTTTAAATGTGCACGCATATTAAAATATCCTTTGTTACTTAACAGTAGAGTTAATAATAAGTTTTGAAAACCGTCCAGTCTCTTGTATACCCTTATTTGTTATTAAGTGTTAAGAGTATAATATTTTGTTTTTAAAATATCCAATTTATAGAATAACGTATGATCTTTTTTTAATTTTTATGATCGAGTCTTCCACACTTCTACATTCTAGTCGTTAACTTTTAAATGAAATATTCTCAACGACTGTTGTACGTTTTAAACATGATTAAACAATATTTTTAAAATAAATCACTTCGTAATAATAAAGATATAGAGAGAAATGTAAGATTATTTATGTCATGAACATTTATTTACAAAGACGTAAAACAATAAGACTAAATTGTAAAAATAATGTTTAAAGTATAATGTGCATACGATAAACCTAATTACAATGAAGTAGATTATATCCTAATATAAATTAGTATGTTTGTACCATTTAATCTCAAAAACTGCTGAACAGATTTTCACAAATTATGAAGACAGAACAAAGTCAGGTTGGTTATCTAGTTATAAATGAAAAGCACCATAACACAGCTATATATTTATGTCACCGTTCTCGGTTAGGTCCAGCCTTACACAAGGCTACTACTTAATTACTATGCATGCAAATTTATTATTCCTTAGGTCTCAACTTAAAAGGAATTATGTGCGTTAATTGTAGTAGACTAAGATACTTATTTGAATAGCTATTTTGATTTAAATGTATATTATAATAATACTTTGTACATAGGTACATCGGCGTCCCACAATGCGTTGTGTGAAACATAATACAAGAATGCATTTTTCAAAGGCTTGTCGAGGTCGTAAAGGGTAATAATGGTTCGGTGGTCAGCAAGTCAACCTATACTTTTTTTAGTAAAATGTTTCTATTACATATTCAACTTTATTGTATTGACATGAAGATGAAAATCCATTGAATAAATTTGACAAATTAGAGGTGCTGATCTGCTGGCTACTGTACAATAAATAAAGTCGGTGTGTATCTAATTGTACGAATGTATGACAATTGCGTTTTGTATGTTAACTAATTATCAATGATCGTTGCTATAAATTTAGTTTTTGTGAAAAGTGTCTAAGGCATTTACCTACGTAAATTAGGATCTGCAAATCATTATGCAGTTGCAAGGAAATGAAAAATTGATTAGGATATAAATTAGGTCCATACTGAATATGTGTGAATAGGCCTATAAAGTATATTAAAGGCGGGTATACAAATATAATCTTCAGCTAAGATCAATCAAGTAATCCTCTCAAAGTGTTACAATGACATAAAAACGACGTTCAATTGAACTCAATCCCAGGACTAATTACTAGACAAAGACAGTAACTTCATTCAATTAATTGACACGACAATGCGACTAGTTTCTCCAGTCAATCACGATCATGCACCTTCAATTAAAACTGCGTTCCGGCATATCTTGCCTTTTTTATCCGTCACCGTCCATGGGCATTGCCTATTAAGGGTAAATATACCTTTATTCACTAAGAAACCCTTATTTAGTACATGACTCACTCGTGTTTGTCCAGTGAAACACCGACTTTATTGAGAAGTCAGAATGTATCTACAATGACAAATGACAAATGACTCACGCGATGGATATGTTCCTAATAACCACCTGTCGCATTTTTGTGAAGGTTGGTGTATGCAAATTAGTGTGTTATAATTATTTTGCAAATTACATACAATAGAAGAATTCGCTTCCGCCATTTTGTTGGACAACACGTCTCAACGTGGCAAACTGTTCGCCTACAGATCATTGAAATACATTCAAGAACAGATATAAAGCTTTTTAGTTCTAAAATATTTCCTGTAGGCATAATTTGTTTAGGCTCTAACAAAGACGTGTCAAATGAACGAAAACAAAGCATACTCGTTAGATGTGTGGGAGGAGATTCCCCATTAAATCCAATTACCAGAACACCAACAAGATTACTAGTTTTTGCGACTTACCTACGACACAATAATTGCACGTGGGCTTAGCGTATTACATGATCACGAAACGCAATAAATCTTATGAGCGGATTGTATAAAAAATATTCAATTGTTTCTTTTATGATTCCAGGGGTCAATTCTCGAGCACGCTGGGTCGGTTCAGTCACTCCACAAGTCGACTGAATCCGAACGTCGAGCCCGAAGAGGACTACACTCGCAGCGCGCAGACGTTGCCGAGGAAATTGCACGACAGGAAAGAGAAATCCACCGAACCACAGAAGCCCAGTTCTAATAAGTACTGGCATAGGCTCACACCCAACAAGCGGTCAAGCAGCGCCGTCAACATCTCCAATAACGCAGTAACAGCTACACCTGACGGTAAAATTAACGGATATCCACCCGGACCTGCGAAGCCAGCGCGAACGTACAAGGCTCTCAACAGGAGCAAGAGTTTTGCTATGGGAGCTCCTGAACAGGAGACACATCCACGTTACGTATCCACAATGAGTCGCAATTACTCAACTATGTATAAATCTAATCCCCACCTAAGCCGGCTTGATGAAACTCCTGAGCAACTGAAAAGTCCAGGAATTGTGTCTATAATAAACCGCAGTCAACGCGACCTTGCCGATGCTGTATCTCGTGAGACTGAGCGCAGGCGTGATGGACTCTTTGGAGCTAGATATGGAAAGACTACCCCAGTGACCAATGGGCACACAAATGGCTTTAGCAAATCTCATGACGAAACTGACAAGAAGAAGATATTCCTTAAAGGACTTCGTGAGAGAGCACCAGAATTATACCAAACACTGCATGCTGACGACGAATCAGACGGCAGCAGGTTATCGTCTCGGTACAACACACCGTCACCACACTATAAGGAGCGTATCTCAGAAGAAAGGAAAACGCCATTGTATAAAACAGAATCGCTCAATAGGGAAACGAGTCCTTTTGTGTCCCGACTGGATTCGAGAATAAAGTCACCGGCAATAAGACGGGGAAGCAACAGTAGTGACAACTATTCAGAAACGTATCGATACACCACTCGTTCAGGTGACCCGGAACGTCCCAGTGTGACAGACACTGTAGAAACCGTTAGCAAGAAGATCGTTCCATCCAGAGACGGTCGCTCAAAGGAGATTATCGAATCAAGGGAAATAAATTCTGTAACGAAAAGCAGGGGGGGATACAAAGAGCCAATAGTGAGCCCCAAGTATATAGAAAATGGTATCCGGTCCGCGCCCCACGGATATGAGAAGAATGGCCCATTGTACTCGGAACGAAGGAGCAGTAACTATAAAGTTATCGAGAAAATAAGAGATTATTAGTAACTTGTGTATCATTGAGAAAATTTTAATTATAAATGTTTATCCTGCCATATTTTTTTCGAATGTACTAAATGAATCAAAGTCATACACAGACTGAATCTTTGAAACGCTTTAGTTGTTAAGTTATCTAACTTTATTTTCATACACAGTAACTGTTGTTAATGTTCGTATTGATAAGGAGCTTCGTGTTATCATGTAAAAAGTCATAGAGCTTTACTAATTTAATTTTAATAATATTCTTAATCCGTCCATATTGTACTTAATGACTATAAAACATTTTCGGGTACGTTTTTATAATCAAAAGCGTTAACTTTGTGAATAGCTTTATATTTTTGTAATAACATTATATTGATACTTTTAAGGAATTAATAAGTAAAAGTAATAATAAACTAGATAAGATTTTGTAGTAAAAAATGTATCAATAAAATTATAATGTGTTAATACGCACTAAAGGTTTTTGTTTTATTTTAAAATTACCTTTAAAAGATTGAATTGATAATATTATTATCTCTATGTTATCTGTACAGTGCATGGTATGATAAGTAACATAGGGACACGGGCACGGGTTCGATTCCCTGTGAGTCAATGTCAGTTAGCAATCTTCCGTAAAAAGACCTGTTATTCAGGCGGAGCTGGATCTAGCCCCATAACACGTAGGCTAGGCCAGGGGACTGAGCTTAGCACTTTGCGTCAATTAACCTACATGAATCGAATAGTGTTTAGCGCCTACTTAATTTATAACATCACGCCTTTTTATACCTAAAGGCACCCAGGGGTGCACATTACGGCATTTAATGCCACTGTACCTACAATGTAACACCCATTTTTCTCTATTTATGTTATGAGTCTCATGTAATAAGAGGTGGGCCTATTGCCATATACCGGGCACAATTCCAGACTCCGTGCTACTCTTGAGATTTTTTTTAAAACCCAGTAACATTTACCTATAATACTACTCGGCCAACGATGCAGTCGTACTTAATTTATAGTACTTTTTATATTGATTATATAAAGTATCAAGTTATTAATACAGACAGAGTCTGAGTCGGCATGATTTGAAATCTTAGTCACAAATGTGTATTTATTTCATTTATTGACTTATACTAGACTTGACAAAATGGGTATGCTAACTAATTGTATAAGAACTTAAGTTGTGTAATAAATTATTTTTACTATCTACTACATTTAAAGACTCATTGCACAATTAAATTAATTAATTTATTTATATTAAAACTTTATGTACAAATGTGTATACAATGGCGGACTTAATGCCGGATAGCATTCTCTACCAGCCAACCATAAGGTGATGCAGAGATGTGTTACAGTAGGTTATAAATGAAGTTTGCATCTATTGAAAAATATAGGTATCTCAGTACATAAACTACATACCAACACCACATACTAATATGAAACATAAATATAATATGTATTAATAACTTTCTTTGATTTTTAATAGATTTGGGTAGGTACAGACAGACAATCATTAGTTGGTGATGTAATGTAATGATATTCATTTGTCTAATTATCACATCAAACAAGAATGCTGAGTGTCGGGTCTCGAGTTCGTTATTTGGGTTGAAATTATTATTAGATTGAGTTTTAATGAATTTGTTTAGCAATTGTGTATAAGAAATATTTGCTATAAAGTTAAGTACAGGCATTCTGGTGTACGTTAAATAACAACCATTCTACTACAGAATATTTTTTTGAAGCGGGATATCAGTGTATGTCTAATCCCGCCAGGGTGAGGCGAGTTATTTACTAAAAACTGATCCACTCTAACTCTTGTTTCGCTTTACTCTTTGCCCGCGACACTGTAAAAGCCACTGAACAGATTCAAATAAAATTTGCCCGGGAAATAAAACTTTTGTGTATTTTAAATGTTATATATTTGTGAAGTCAGGGCCGTCTAAAACGGCGACGAATTATTGTGTGCTCAATAAATGAACACACAATAATTCGGGGCCCTTGCGTAATATTTCTTCTTTATGACGTTGCACTGCACTATGGTTTTCTCCTGTGTCATAGGTGCATTTACAAATATACAAGTTCACATTCATATAACACTCAGCTCCGAAACAACAATTCGTGGATCACACAAAGATTTGCTCCGTACGGGAATCGAACCCGCTACACATTGCGAAGTAGCCGGTCGCCATGCAACGTGTAGCAAAAGAGCAATTCTTTGTGAATGTCCGTCGTAGAGATTATCGGTCCTTTGCCCAGGGCCCAGGGCACCCAGTGCCAGGACGTGGGCACGGGTCCCGAATGCCCTTATGGTAAAGACGGCATTGGTGGCAGTACTCGTTCGAATAAATAAGTAAATACCTACACTATAATCTGAAAAATATATACTAACTATAATCTGAAATACACGGGTACTCAGGTATTCGGTAACAATTTTAGTACGAAAATTAGTCAATTTTTTAATTTTAAGTCGTGATCCTACATTGCGATATTTACACTTACGACCTCTGGACTTATTAGCCTAATATAAGTATACATTCTAAAAGTGATACAATGGCGTGTTCAATTTCGTCATCATAGCACTAGATCGGCTTCAATTGCTTCAATTAATTATCAATTAGTTTAATATTTATAACTATATAATACTTTTAAACGAGCAATCCCTGTAATGTAAAGATAATTGTAATAATGTAATAAATCTAAAGACCTATTATTTCTTATCAATTAAACTTAGATCCCGAGAGATTACGGCTTTATCTATCTTAGTGCGACATATATGTCAACGATCGCGGAAATGACTCCAATGGTTTTTTTGAAATCTTGTATTAAATAGGGTTTTGGGGGCGATAAATCGATCTAGCTAGGTTTCAATTTCAGAAAATGTCTTTTCCTAAAAAAACCAAGAACAATGCCTGGTCATCCAGGTACTGATTAGTTATTTGGAACAACAATAGAATTTTCTCATGTTTTTTTTACATAACATAACATCACGCCTTTTATCCTCGAAGTTGTAGACAGAGGTGCACATTATGCCACTGTACAATGTAACACCCACTTTTCACTATTTATTTTATGAGTCGCATATAATAGGAGGTGAGCCTATTGCCATATACCGGGCACAATTCCAGACTCCGTGCTCCTACTGAGAATTAAAAACCCAGTAATACTTTGCCCGACCCGGGAAGCGAACCCGAGACCCCTTGCCCGGCAGTCGCACTTGCGACCACTTGGCCAACGAGGCAGGCAGCAGTTTTTTTAAGATACAAATTCTATCATAATTTCATATCACACACGGATTCAGAACTACAATGGGTTCCATGTAATTACTTAAAAAAAAGAATGTGAGAACTGAGGCTAAGGCCGTACTAAGGTACGAATTTGTTTTACGTTGAAAGTAATCGAACCGAGTAAGCGTTCGGCGCTGTGATTGGCCGGCTCCAATGAACCAACCAATCACAGCGCCGGACGAGGTTTCGTTTCGATTATTTTAAACGAAAAAGAAACTCGTACTAAGCCCTCTGAACGAGTAGAGGGAAACAATTAGTAAGAAATCTCTTAAATTTTTAGAAGACTGAGGTACAAATGTAGTCAAACCGTGAAAGAAACATTGTAAGGAAACCTGGACTTATAATTTGTAATTATGCGAGCAATTGTACAAGCGTGCGGATAAATGCTCAAACTTTATCCATGTGAGAAGAGATTGCTCAGTAGCGGGCACTTACATGCTGTTGATAGTGATGAAAGATGAGATAAAAAACCGACGTGAAGCAACGCTTGCGTTGTGTTTCGTCGTATGAGTGAGGTTACCGGAGGCCCAATTACCCTCCCCTTCCTTAATCTCCCCAATTCTTGAATCCCCAACGATCCTCAAAGTCAAAGTCAAAATCATTAGTTTACAATTGCTTACCATCAGGTGATCCGTTTGCTCGTTTACGCCATAAAAAATCCAGATTAAGTCAGTATTTTTATTATCGCTGTAGTTAAAATAGACATTATCATTGTAATTTTATTTGACACAATTGACGTTTTTCGCATAGTTTTTTCAAAATAGCCCACAGGTGTTAAAGGTAACAATTGGTTTTTAAATGCTTTTTGTCATTTTAATTATTGTTTAACTTTCGAAGAAATACCTATGTATAAAGGTTTACACGTGAAAAATTATAAACAACTTAGTCATTCCGATGACGCTCGTTGCTGTACAATTGAAAACATGATGAACTGGAGTACCTAGTGCTTTTGCGACGATCTCCGCAGTTGGCAAACAACTTGGGGATAGTTGGGTTACCGAAAGTACAAATTATCGAGGATAGTAGTGCCTGCCCGTCGAAGTCTGGTAACAGTTTCAGGACATAGGATAGCCAGGTTAAACTTACGAACAGTTGCAAAAAATAAGACGATAGTCATTAGTCGACATAAAGTCCTTAAAAAACCGATTTTCATAAAATGAATAACATTCACGATGTATACGAATAAAGTTTTTAATTATGGAAGACCTCAGTTCTATTGTGATATCTTAAAAAACAAATAGACTGACAGATGAAAAATGTATATTATCAATCTTTTTACAAATGCCAAGAGAAACAGACAAGTGTGGTGTGGCCCGATCAAACATCTTGTGGATTTGTTAAATAAATAATTGAATGAAACCATATTTTTCAAGGCATATTATATTTCTCTTATTTATCTTTGAAAGTTTTAAACAAAGATTTTGATTTGTAAACTTACGGCGTGCCGCCCGCACGCTGACAGCGTCGCGCCGGCGAGGCGTCGGCGCGGCGTCGGCGAGTTGGCGGCGTGCCGCCCACCAGGCGCCAGCGAAACAACGTCGCACCGTTGCTTGGTAGATAGGTAGGTAAAAAGATTTCACCTCGTTGAAGCACGTGGTCAACACGCCAACGCTGCGCCGGCCTCGCGCCGCCCGCTATTTGGAAGCGCGCGGTCACCACGCCGACGCCGCGCCGAAGCCGTGCTTTTTAAATCTGGGATGACCTTAACGATGAAATTTCTTGCACCTGGCTTACCTGGCAATTCAATTTGACGTTTCAAAAGTACCTAATTAAGGATTAATTGAAATAAATGCTTTGACATTGACTTTGACTGAGTCACTGCACGGTTGGCGCGGATTCGATACGCACACGGAACAACACATTGTGTGATCCACAAATTCTTGTTTCGGGTCTGTGTGTATGTGAATTTGTATGTTTATAAATGCACCCACGACACAGGAGCAAATCCTTGTTTGGGGCATAGTTTTTTTTTAAATTTTATATTTAGGGGCTTCGACATAGGTATGGTATCTTTTTAGAAATAATGAGCTGTAAGCGTAGGTAAATTAAATAAATCCTTTTATGATTCATACTTACTTAGCTAATGTAATGGTATTCTAATGTGAGTACAATTAAAAAATACTGATAAACAACACGGTGTGTGATTGTGTCATCAACACGATACACTTGTATCAACAACAACAAATTTATTTGCATATTAGATGTCACGGTAATCTAGGATCCATTTGTGCTACGTAATGTTGTTGATTAGCTTAATGCCCGTGTGTTTGCTTGCTTGGAATATAATCAATTTCATGAAAATTACTAAATTCTCGATTCAAAGTTAACCAGATTAACCAGATTTTAGCTTCGTGTAATATAGTAGGCGGGATTGTGGTCAAACGTTGGCCCATCAAATATAAAAACAAACTGGACTTGGAAGGCACACCTTATTATTCAGGACAATAAGCAGCATACACTGTTTATACAGAGTTTACTAAGAACAAATAAGTACCTACTGTAATCAACTTCGAAAATAAGATTTATTATACAGATTGATACTGGTGCCCCGTATAAGGCAATTGGCTCACCCATTATTACATTGGGCTCTTAACATAGATAGTAAAAAGTACGTGTTAAATTGTACAGCGGCTAAATGCCGTAATGTGCACTACTGCAAACCCTTCGGAGATAAAAGGCGTGATGTTATGTTATTATATAAATGTTATCGATAGTGTTCATGGTTTACGAAATACAATAAACATGTTAAAACATTTCACAACTACTCTTACATCCAAAAGTCTATTAATTAAAAAAAATGTATACAAACAGACAGACAAATACACAGTTATTTCACTATACAGAATGATGTAAAAATATTGAACAAATTTTGGTGAAGATATAAAAAGCTATATATATTATACCGGTTCTATAATTGGACTATCATTTTCGCGTGCGACAAACGGCGGTGGTCGTCAATCAGTCATTATTAGTAGATACTATTTATTTATGAGTATTTTAATTTATATTTCAATGGTATTTTAGTCATCATGTTGAAAATTCTGAAGTTAGGTTTCGTTTTAACATTAGCAACTTTTTGTGAGACAGCTAATATTTTGTACGCGATTCCTTATTCTGTGAAGTCACATTATATTATGCAAAGGCCAGTGGGGTTGGAATTGGCTCGTAGGGGACATAATGTTACTGTTATAACTGCTCACAGGGAAATCGATCATCCCCCGAATTATCATCAAGTCATGGTCGTGAATAAAACTATTTGGAACGTCCTTGGTAAGATAAACAACTTCATTTATTTATTTTATAATTTAAAAAACCTCAAGCCAACTCATTCCTGTTATAATGAAGTAGAAATTTTACATTCGTATTAAATTGTTAAAATTAAAAATATAGTATGTAAACGTTGCTAAGTTGCTTTATAATCTTAATAAATTTTAGTTAAACATTTAAATAAACTTATTATTAAGAATATAATAGTTAATGTAAAAGCCTTTTACTTTGATAATATAATAATGTGTATTTTTTCTTAAAGGACGAGAGCGGCCAAATCTTTTCACACTGGTAGAGTACTCAGCAGAACAGCTTCACAAAGAGATTCTTTGGAAAGGTGGATTAGCTCTGACGGAAGGGTCATTGAAATCCGCCGAAGTACAATCGCTATTAGCAGAAAACCGAACCTTCGATTTAGTGATCAGCGAGTTCTTTTTCCAAGAAGCCACATACGCTCTAGCTCATAAATACAATGCCCCATTAATTTTAATATCAACCATGGTGAATTGTATGAAACATAGTCTGCTAACAGGTAACCCTCTGGAATTAGCAACGACAAGTTTTGAGTTTCTGGACGCGAGGAATCCTACCAGTTTTTGGGGAAGATTGAGGAATTTATACTTGAATGTGTACGACTATTTCTGGTGGCGCTATTGGTTTTTAGAAAAACAAGAAGAATTAGTGAGGAAGTACATTCCTAACTTGCCGCAGCCTGTGCCCAGTTTGTATGATTTAGAGAAGAATGCATCGCTGTTGTTTTTAAACAGTCACTTCTCCTTCCAATCCCCTGTGGCGTTCCTTCCGAATATTATTGAAATTGGAGGAATACATCTCAAGGAAAGTGATTCCCAGTTACCAGCTGTGAGTATTATTTAATTTAATTTTATATAATTTATAAATAGGATATTAAGATTCGTTATTGTATTTGATCCGTCAGTCAGCTTGTAAAAAATATTCGACCTTTTTATTTTATTTATCAAACTCCTCAGAAGTTAGTAAATTGTATAAAACATTGTCGTTGTAGACAGTGCTACGCCGTAGCGAGCGTAGCATAATTATTATCCTAACTAATATTATAAATGCGAAAGTAACTCTGTCTGTCTGTCTGTCTGCTACTCTTTCTCGCCAAAACTACTGAACGGATTTGAATGAAATTTGGTATACAGATATTCTAGACCCCGAGATAAAACATAGGCTACTTTTTATCGCGAAAAAGGGGTTGTTGTAAGAATAATTATTACGATTTATCTGAAAACCTGAAAACGGATATCTGACAGATAACATTACTATGGTAACCAACCTGATGATTTGTAATTGTTATGACGTCCTACTTTCATAATATATTTTGGCATCAACATATAAAAATGAAGTTCTGTGGGTTTTCAAGGAATAATATTAGTATTCAGCTGCATCAGGGATCAGGGATTTTAAAGACAAAATACGAATTCAATTGACTGAATACAATTTATTCATAGACTAGCCTCTGTCTGCGGCTTCTCTCGCGTTCTTTTAATGGGGTGAGGGAAGGATTTATAATAAAAAAATGAAATGATGCACGATTCTATGCTGGTCACAAATAACCCGCATACCAATTGTTAGCTTTCCACATTGAAAATTGCAAAATACCCCATACAAACTTTCACCTCTGTTTCACGGAAGTGGAAGGGGGTTAAAAAAAGACAAAAAGTAGCCTATGATACTCTCCATCTTTTCAACTATCTCAAATCAAAAACCTTCCTGACTCCGTTCTGTGTGAAATACGGACAAACAAACAAACAAGCACATACAAATTTATATTATTAGTATACATTTCTTAAGTCATCTGACATTTGTGTGACAAGTGAGTTTACAAAGTCAATGTGTCAGAGATTTTTTTTATACTATGGTATTAATATTAAGGTATGCAAAGAGGTTGACAGCAGTCTAAGGAGATAAAACCACGAATAAAATATTTTCAGTTTACTTGAATTCGTATTTTTTATATGTATATCAAAAAAACTAGCTAAATGCACATAGCTAAAAAATAATATTAGTCCTTTTCATTTTAGACCGTCAAGGCCAAATTCACTATGATAGTTTGCTGTTTGTTTATGGCATAAGCCGGTAAACGAGCAGACGGATCACTGCGCCGCCCATGGACATCTGTAACACCAGAAGTGCTAGAAGTGCGTTACCGGTCTTTTGGGAATTGGTAATTTGAGGATTGGGGGGGCTGGGGGAGGGGTAATTGGGCCTCCGGTAACCTCACTTACACAGCGAAACACTCCTTTAGGTAACCGAGGGCTGGGCTCGCTGTCATTGCAGCGGAAAGTCCCCTCTTTAAAAGTGGCTTTAGAGAGGCCATCAATGCAAGGACCGCCCGGAGAACACGGTGGAGCATACCGTGGCGGTGTACCTTGCATGGGCTGAGCACCGCCGTGTTCTCAGGGATGTAGGAAACGGTGACCTCTCGCGTTCGGCTCTGGTTCAGGCCATGGAGCGAGGGGGATTGGGATGCAGTCGCATCCTTCTGCGAAGCAGTTATGCTTGCCAAGGAGAAAGCGGAGCGTGTGAGGGAATGAACTTCCTCACGCCCAGCCGTCGCGGGAGACACTCTCACCGGCCACCGTAAGTGCGGGTCTGTAGACGCAGAGCAAGGGTAGCTCGCCACCCGACCAGAACCAGTCCCGTGCATACGGCGCGCGCCTTACAGAGCCATGACACCATCATAGATGGAGCCCAGTAGGGCTGATGCTCGATACGGTGCCGCGGGAGGCCTAACGAGTTGACGGGGCTCCGGCTCGACGAGCAGGAGTAGGAACGGAGTGGATTTTAGTCAGTAAGAATCTGTCACTCCCTCTCACCTAACCCAAGGCGGGAGAAGTGATTGGATGATTTTCCGACCTCAAAAAAAATCTCCTTTAGGTAATGACAACCCGATGTGTGAAAAACTACCAAAAAAACTCCTTATATTACTGGTATTGATTACGCTGTGGAAATTATGGACAATAGAGCCAAGGGATGTATTAAGTCTTATAGAGGACATTAATATCAACATTAAAGTACATGTATCATATGTAACTAACCTAATATCAGAATACCTATTTTTTCATTTAAATGTTTGCGATAGTAACGCACGTCGCACCGGTACATATCAGGTCACATTATAGGAGAGAGGAAATCCCAAAATGACGGAAACTATGCGCTAAAAAACCAGGACCAAGGACGTTGAAATAAAGAGGGGCTCTTACCTTTTAAACCATTGAACCTATTTGGTGAAATTCGGCGCAGCGATAGTTTGAGACCCGGGAAAGGACATCTAAAAGTTTTTAACCCGAAAAACCCACGAAACCGGGAACTGTGCTGTTAAAATCACTATATCTATTTGATTGAAATGCGATACAACATTGATTTGCAAACATAGAATAGTGAAACTTCACGAGACGGGCACTATACGGGTAAAACCTCTATGGGATTGTTTATTTTAGAAACCACGAAAATAAATTCATTTCTCAATAAATATAACCTAGGTACTGAATCGATTGTGATGATATTTGTTCCAGTTGTACAGCCATAGAATATACCTTGACAAAGACTAATTTAAAAAACCCAATTTATACAGAAGTCGTTATTTCACGCGGACGAAGTCGCGGGTAACAGCTAGTACTCAAATAATTTATAACTGGTAATAAATAATAATTATTTTATAAACTACGTTTAAAAAAACCGACTTCAATACCATCTGTTTTTAAGTCGGCTAATGAATAATACTAAAACCTTCTTCTAAGTGTTACACACACTTTTATAAAAACTGCATCAAAATCAGTTCAGACAGTCGCGAAATAATGACGCACAAATATACATATAGGTCAAACTCAGAACCTCCTTATTTTGAAGTCGGTTAATAATAAGTCTTTATCATGGCTGACTGCCTCGTTGGCCGAGTGGTCGCAAGCGCGACTGTCGGGCAAAGGGCTCGGGTCCGATTCCCGCGTCGGGCAAAGTATAACTGGGTTTTAAAAAAAATCTCAGTAGTAGCACGGAGTCTGGAATTGTGTCCGGTATATGGCAATAGGCTCACCCCCTATTACATGGGACTCATAACATAAATAGTGAAAAGTGAGTGTTACTTCTGTGTGCACCTCTGCCTACCTCTTCGGGGATAAAAGGTGTGATATTATGTTTATCTATCATTATCAACAATTTGACTCATCCTTCAAGTTTGATCATTTTATGTTAGACGTGAGTATATATTTAAATAGCTGCCAATAAATGATGGGTATCAAAACTATTTGCACGAGAACATCGTCACAGATGAAATTATTTATTTGAAGTGAATTTAACTGATTCGTTGCGGTACGTACGCCACGTCTGTTAGCATACTCATGTCATTGACATTTTAAAAATTCTGTTTACACATTTTTAAAGCAACTGTTTGTATATGAATTAAAAAAAAACTGCGTCTACGAAACCGACTTCAAAAAACCAAAAACTAATAACAAAAAAAACATCAAAACTAAAATTCATGTAAATGGGAACATCTCGGGAGTACACCCTTTCAAACAAAACAAGAATTTTGGAAATCGGTTTACAAATGGCGGAATAATCGGCGAAAAAACAAAAAAAAACCAAACATAGTACCTCCTCCTTTTTTAAAGTCGGTAAAAATAAGTCATACACTGGTATAGGTATATAAATTGTACGTATTTCAATACTCTTGAAAAATGTTAACTAAATTCATTTTACTGTCCAAAATTCATTCAGTATCCAGCCGTGCAGCCTTTATCCTTACAATTACAAGTTCTCTATTTTAAATAGTATAGAAGTGTACTAATACTTGAAGTTTAAAAGTTAAGAAGAGGTGTAGAGATGTTAACCAATTTCTAAATAATAATTCCTACTTTCAGGATCTCCAAAAACTTCTAGACGAAGCAACTGAAGGAGTGGTTTATGTTAATTTCGGATCGAATGTACGAAGCACAGAATTGCCGATCGAAAAAAAGAACGCTTTAATCAACGTTTTCAAGCGATTGAACCAAACCGTCCTTTGGAAATGGGAAGCTGAGAGTCTAGATGAGAAGCCGGATAACGTTGTAGTTAGGAAATGGATGCCCCAAAAGGAAATATTATGTAAGTATTTCTATTTTTTAAGATGTTTTTAATTAAAAATGCCTAACGCTTTCTGTCAACGGGTATTTTATCAGCTTTCGTTTTCGCAAGAATTAAATATGGTAACGTTATACCAAATTCAATTGACAATATTATTTACTAGCTTCTGCAGCATTTTAATATGACCGAGTAACAAACATACACATAAACTCACATAATTATTTTCATTTATACCTCTAATATCGAGTCAAGCTAATTTCAACCATATGATTTCTATGCAGCTTTAACCTATAAGCCTGCACACGCGACGGACAGTGAAAATGAAGTAACTTCTCCCGTTTTCCCAATATTTCCCTTCACTGCTCTGCTCCTATAGATCGTAGCGTAATGAAAAGTATACTATAACCTGCCCAAGAGTATGAAGAATAATTGTGCCAAATTTCGTTAAAATCCATCGAGTAGTTTTTGTTTCCATAACGAACATACAGACAGACAGACAGACAGACAGACAGACAAAAATTTTACTGATTGCATTTTTGGCATTAGTAGCGAGGCCTAACCACCCCTTCATAGTTATTTTTTAAATATATTTTATGTACAGGATTTACCTCTCTACAGATTTATTATAAGTATAGATTACACTTTTCTTTGGTTTGTCCTGAGGTCTGTGGTTCTGCAAAAAAGTATGCAGAAATATTTTTTGTGTGTGGTAGATTTATAGGATGTATATGTAGAGTATACATTTTTCTTTTATTTCTAACACTAGCTGTTACCCGCGACTTCGTCCGCGTGAAATAACGACTTCTGTATAAATTGGGTTTTTTAAATTAGTCTTTGTCAAGGTATATTCTATGGCTGTACAACTGGAACAAATATCATCACAATCGATTCAGTACCTAGATTATATTTATTGAGAAATGAATTTATTTTCGTGGTTTCTAAAATAAACAATCCCATAGAGGTTTTACCCGTATAGCGCCCGTCTCGTGAAGTTTCACTATTCTATGTTTGCAAATCAATGTTGTATCGCATTTCAATCAAATAGATATAGTGATTTTAACAGCACAGTTCCCGGTTTCGTGGGTTTTTCGGGTTAAAAACTTTTAGATGTCCTTTCCCGGGTCTCAAACTATCGCTGCGCCGAATTTCACCAAATAGGTTCAATGGTTTAAAAGGTAAGAGCCCCTCTTTATTTCAACGTCCTTGGTCCTGGTTTTTTAGCGCATAGTTTCCGTCATTTTGGGATTTCCTCTCTCCTATAATGTGACAGGATATGTACCGGTGCGACGTGCGTTACTATCGCAAACATTTAAATGAAAAAATAGGTATTCTGATATTAGGTTAGTTACATATGATACATGTACTTTAATGTTGATATTAATGTCCTCTATAAGACTTGATACATCCCTTGGCTCTATTGTCCATAATTTCCACAGCGTAATCAATACCAGTAATATAAGGAGTTTTTTTGGTAGTTTTTCACACATCGGGTTGTCATTACCTAAAGGAGATTTTTTTTGAGGTCGGAAAATCATCCAATCACTTCTCCCGCCTTGGGTTAGGTGAGCGGGAGTGACAGATTCTTACTGACTAAAATCCACTCCGTTCCTACTCCTGCTCGTCGAGCCGGAGCCCCGTCAACTCGTTAGGCCTCCCGCGGCACCGTATCGAGCATCAGCCCTACTGGGCTCCATCTATGATGGTGTCATGGCTCTGTAAGGCGCGCGCCGTATGCACGGGACTGGTTCTGGTCGGGTGGCGAGCTACCCTTGCTCTGCGTCTACAGACCCGCACTTACGGTGGCCGGTGAGAGTGTCTCCCGCGACGGCTGGGGCGTGAGGAAGTTCATTCCCTCACACGCTCCGCTTTCTCCTTGGCAAGCATAACTGCTTCGCAGAAGGATGCGACTGCATCCCAATCCCCCTCGCTCCATGGCCTGAACCAGAGCCGAACGCGAGAGGTCACCGTTTCCTACATCCCTGAGAACACGGCGGTGCTCAGCCCATGCAAGGTACACCGCCACGGTATGCTCCACCGTGTTCTCCGGGCGGTCCTTGCATTGATGGCCTCTCTAAAGCCACTTTTAAAGAGGGGACTTTCCGCTGCAATGACAGCGAGCCCAGCCCTCGGTTACCTAAAGGAGTGTTTCGCTGTGTAAGTGAGGTTACCGGAGGCCCAATTACCCCTCCCCCAGCCCCCCCAATCCCTAACAATCCTCAAATTACCAATTCCCAAAAGACCGGTAACGCACTTCTAGCACTTCTGGTGTTACAGATGTCCATGGGCGGCGCAGTGATCCGTCTGCTCGTTTACCGGCTTATGCCATAAACAAACAGCAAACTATCATAGTGAATTTGGCCTTGACGGTCTAAAATGAAAAGGACTAATATTATTTTTTAGCTATGTGCATTTAGCTAGTTTTTTTGATATACATATAAAAAATACGAATTCAAGTAAACTGAAAATATTTTATTCGTGGTTTTATCTCCTTAGACTGCTGTCAACCTCTTTGCATACCTTAATATTAATACCATAGTATAAAAAAAATCTATGACACATTGACTTTGTAAACTCACTTGTCACACAAATGTCAGATGACTTAAGAAATGTATACTAATAATATAAATTTGTATGTGCTTGTTTGTTTGTTTGTCCGTATTTCACAACAGAACGGAGTCAGGAAGGTTTTTGATTTGAGATAGTTGAAAAGATGGAGAGTATCATAGGCTACTTTTTGTCTTTTTTTAACCCCCTTCCACTTCCGTGAAACAGAGGTGAAAGTTTGTATGGGGTATTTTGCAATTTTCAATGTGGAAAGCTAACAATTGGTATGCGGGTTATTTGTGACCAGCATAGAATCGTGCATCATTTCATTTTTTTATTGTAAATCCTTCCCTCACCCCATTAAAAGAACGCGAGAGAAGCCGCAGACAGAGGCTAGTCTATGAATAAATTGTATTCAGTCAATTGAATTCGTATTTTGTCTTTAAAATCCCTGATCCCTGATGCAGCTGAATACTAATATTATTCCTTGAAAACCCACAGAACTTCATTTTTATATGTTGATGCCAAAATATATTATGAAAGTAGGACGTCATAACAATTACAAATCATCAGGTTGGTTACCATAGTAATGTTACCTGTCAGATATCCGTTTTCAGGTTTTCAGATAAATCGTAATAATTATTCTTACAACAACCCCTTTTTCGCGATAAAAAGTAGCCTATGTTTTATCTCGGGGTCTAGAATATCTGTATACCAAATTTCATTCAAATCCGTTCAGTAGTTTTGGCGTGAAAGAGTAGCAGACAGACAGACAGACAGAGTTACTTTCGCATTTATAATATTAGTTAGGATTAGGATTAGGATTAGGATTATTAAAATTATCAATATAAAAAATACAATACCGTTGAGAATTCGAAACAAAGTAGTATCATGAATGCATGTATCAGAACTATTATTTATCGATTATGAGTTTATGCAGGCCTCTACTTCTATAAAATAATAAGCGAGACATTCTTGTTTTGTTAAATAGTACGACTAATAATATTAATGGTTTCAGCACACCCCAACATCAAAGTATTTCTCTCACACGGAGGTCTCATAGGCACATTGGAGGCAGTATTCCACGGAGTACCAATTATCGGCATACCAGTCTATGGAGATCAATACAAGAACTTAATAAAAGCAGAAGAAGCTGGTACAGGTACTACACTGTTATACCACGACATCAATGAAGACAACCTAGAACGAATACTACACGAATTTTTAAAAGACGATTCTTACTTGAAACGAGCTAAAGAACTTTCTAGAAGATTCAAGGACAGACCGATGTCACCTTTAGACACAGCTATGTACTGGATCGAGTATGTCATCAGGAATAAAGGAGCCGATCACATCAAGAGTCCATCTTTAAAAATGAATTGGATAACTTATAATATGTTGGATGTTTACGGTTTTATTGTTATCGTTTTAGGCTTATGCAGTTACGTTATCTATAAAATATGGGAATTGGTCAGTCAATGTAAATTCCTCGTGAGAGTTGGTTTCGGACATCGTAAACTGAAGTGTCTATAAAGATGTTGCTATTGATAGTCGTTATTTTACTTGTGTGTTACAGTGATAAGTAAATTGATTTAGGGCCGATTTTACCAACGCCAGATAAATTTTTACTGAGGAATAACTTTGAATATTAATTTGACAATTCTTCCATACTAATAACTATCAAATGAATTTTATTCTACAGTTTAGAATTACCTGATGATTAAAAAATCGGCTCTTTAAATGTTTGTTGTCAATAGGTTTCCTGTTATTTTAAACCTGTCGATGCAAACTTAGGTTTGTGTATTTTTGAACTAATTCCAATCTAGTTGCTTTTTGTTTCCACAAATTAAAATTCCATTTCCTTTTAAATAATTTGGTTTATACGTTAATTCTTTACATAATATTTATTTATTGATACATGTATAATACATATCATAAAACTTACATTTTTTAGATTTCGGGCTCGATTCCCGCGACGGGCAAAGTATTACTGAGTTTAAAATTCTCAGTAGTAGCACTGAGTTTGGAATTATGCCCGGTATATGGCAATAGGCTCACCCCCTATTACATGGGATTCATAACATAAAAGTGAAAAGTGGGTGTTACATGATACAGTGGCATACAGTGCCGTAATGGGCACCTTTGCCTACCCCTTTGGGATTAAAAGGCGTGATTTTATGTTATGTTGTGAAATGGTAGGTACATATCTAATTAGTTATTTATATATTTAATGGGTTTAAATGGGACTAGGTAATTAGTATTAGTGTTTACCTATTTATTTTATTAGATGCATTATAATATTGATTTTGAATAAAAAATATATAAGCTAATGTGTTTTAGATAGTAATGTTATTATAAAATACTATTGTATTGTTTGATGTAATAATTAGATTTTAATTGTTATTGTACTTAATATACAATTTTGACATGGCTCGTGTTGTTTAATAACTCGTAATCACTTGGAGACAGTTAGAAATGTGTTTCTTCGTAATTATGTAGTGCTATTAAGTTAAGTATGTTACATTCATATCTTTATGAGTATCAAATACACTGCTATTCTCTACTATCATGGCGCTCGTTGCCTGTTTTGTTTCTAGCTTTTCGAAGAGAAGTTACTGTGTAGTTCGTTACTGCGTAACTAGATGGCGTTTATCTAAAAACTCACTTCATAAAAACAATATCAGTATGACAATGAATGAAACACAATTGTTAGCAACAAAATCTTAATTCAGATTAACCTCCTCTTTATGTGGCTACAAATTAAACTTAATTAACATAGATAGAACAAAAACAATAGTCAAATACCGACATTAGGACGTTAGTTCTTCGAATAAGGGCCAAGGGACTATGTCCAGTTATGTTAAATACGAATATTTCTTGCCCAAACCGTCCCTAATCTTATTGTGATCTTCAACCAACAAATTGTTTCAACTAAAGAGATCCCCCATTGTTTAAATACAATTATCCGGATACGAGAGTGGATAACAATTAAAGAGAATGTGATAATAGATATTTTGGACTATTCACGACGACCTTTCCCTTAAATTGGGTCGTTGACTTGTAAAATGTATTTTATTATAATGGCATAGAATGCAGGTTGCTTTTTAAAGGGGTTGTGGTTTTGACCAGTGTTGTTATTAGTCCCATGCTGAGTATTGAACCTCATTTATTGGTGTATCTGTGGTCATAACCAAAATCCGTGATAATCGTCACGGAACTCAATTTTGAATTTCGAATTAGAGATTGTGACTGCTTTTCCCGGGGGAAGGTAAACCTACAAATCACCAGATTATTAGGTTGTTTTACGATAAATGTAAAAAAAAACATACTTTTATGCAATACACATGACTCCCAGGTTTAAAAAATGTGTTTTGTATAAGTTATTATTATTTGGGGTATCCAATACTTGCGTAACGTACAAAAACTTCAACCGATATTAACTCGTCGAGTACCGGTTTTATAGACACAATTAAAGAACAATAGGTCGCGGTCACCGGTGACCGCTTGGTGTTTGACAGTTTAAAACAAAAACTCTTCACTTCAATTATTAATGACCTAGGAGACTTCAAACTACACTAGCGCCGCCACAAAACTCATTTCTGTACCCACGCATGTCTGTTTGTAGTCTTGATAACAACTGACGTTATTAACTCGTCGAGTACCGGTTTTATAGACACAATTAAAGAACAATAGGTCGCGGTCACCGGTGACCGCTTGGTGGTTGACAGTTTAAATACCGGAATTCAATTTAAAATTGATGAGAAAGATAATGTTCGGGTAAGTAGATAAAAAACTTATTGGTAATTTCATAAATACTGGTTAGCAAAATAATTATTCTTAAATTGGTACCTCCTCAGAAAATTCCTGTTTCATAATATCATGTTAAATCGATGACTACAAATAGCATTCACCTGAAAACAGCGACATTAAAACAAAAACTTTTAATAATAATTTTAATGACCTAGGAGACTTAAAACTACACTAGCGCCACCACGAAACTCATTTGTAGAGCCACGTATGTCTTGATAACGACTGACGTTATTAAATACAGGAACTTGACTTTAAATGGATGAGAAACTGGCCGAGAGTCACTAATGAGCACACGACAGTTTCTATAAGCAACACGGAAGCTAAAATAGAACGTCCATATGATATACTGGGACAGAGAATGTTAATTTTGTACTGTAATTGAAAATTTAAATCTATAATTATATATAAAATAAAGTCGTGTTAGTTACACCACTTATACCACTCAAGAACGGCAGAATAGATTTGGCTGAAAATTAGTAGGGAGGTAGCTTAGAGCCAGTAGACCGACATAGGATACTTTTTAACAAAAATTTTTATTTACTTTTTTCCGAAAATTACGAACGGGGACGGGAAAAAATGGGATGGTACGCGTACGAAGTCGCGGACAGAAGCTAGTATTTAATTAAAAAGTTATGGTAATCAATGGCTAATGAATGAAATTATAAAATTGGTTTATAATTATGTAGATAGACTCGTTGATCAAGTGAAAGCAATTGCAACTACTAAATAAGAGGTTTCGGTTTTTAGAGAATGTCTCAGTACTAGTACGGAGTCTGGAATTTGTGCTCATACACCCAGCAGTAGGCTCACACCCGATAAATGGAATCCACATAAGCAAAACCACAGGTAAAAGTTAGTTATAATTCATTATTCTGAGCAACAAAATGTATTTTAATTATTATGTTTTCGGCTTACTCACGTAATTATTTGACGATAAAGTAGCAACGTGACAGTCGCCGCGTCGCGGGTCGCAGAATGCTGCTCATGCATGGCATGAGCATCTAGCATCTAGAAAGTAGTCGAGTTCCTCGTCAAACAGTTACGTGAGTAAGCCGAAAACACAATAATTTATTTAGTATGTCTCACGAAAGTTATAATACAAATAACGAAATGTGATTTATATTTGGAAAATTAATAATAACTTAATTATGTATGTAGGTGTCTGTAAATAGAAATACACCTGAGAGCAATGAAACGGAGCAACTGGCGTTTTTTGTTATTTTTAAAGGTAACTAAATAGCCTTTTATACATCATCGTCATCATCAATCGCCTATGCCCGCTGCTGAGCAAAGCTTCTTCTCACACAGAGAAGGTTTGAGCATAAATCGCCACGCTTGCACAATACTGTTTGGCGATTACAAACTTATAATTAGAAATTATAAGCCCAAGTTTCCTTACGATGTTTTCCTTCACCGTTTGTCAGTGGTGTCTAGATAATCTTAGAATGTACATAAAACTCGGAAAAAGTCACATTGGTACTTGCGTTGGTAGGTTTCGAAACCGCACCGTCATGCATGAGAAGCGGGCGTCTTAAACCTCCGGGCTACCACGAAATTAATAATATGTTATATGTCAGACGTAACCAATTAATAAAATATATTTTGTATCACATTTAAGTGTGGGAGACCCATGCTTCGGCACGAATGGGCCGGCTCGACGGGGGTGATACCACGGCCTCACAGAAAACCGACGTGAAGCAACGCTTGCGTTGTGTTTCGTCGTGTGAGTGAGGTTACCGGAGGCCCAATTACGCTCCCTTTCTCCAATCTTCCCAATCCCTGAATCCCCAACGATCCTCAAACTCCAAATCCCCAAAAAGCCGGTAACGCACTTGTAACGCCTCTGGTGTTCCAGGTGTCCATGGGCGACGCCGATTGCTTACCATCAGGTGATCCGTCTGCTCGATTACCGGCTCATGCCATAAAAAAAACAAAAATGTTTATCAAGAAATAATAAAGAAAAAATGCTACTGGCACCTTATTTTAGCACCCAAGTGTACTTTACGTTTAGACTAAACAGAACAAAAAGCGGTTGGTATTTCTCTAATTAATTACAAGTTCAAATTTAAGCGAAAATGTTATTTATAGGTAACTAACACTTCCTCGTATCTTCGTAATTATTGTTCAAAAACATTAGAACGATTCCTTTTTGATAAACATCGTTTGTCAGTCAAAAGTTAGGAGCCTACAGCCTGCCTTTGATCGGAAGATAAACGCCCACCTTCAATTTAACTTTATTTAATCAACAAATTCTTGATGTTTTGTAGTATATTTAACTTATTGTGAATATCACAGACTTATTCGTAACTTTGTTCATTTAAGTGATAGGTAGTCTAAATTTAGAATATAATTCATTATATGACTAGGTTATATACCACAATGGTCTATATGACTTACTTGACTTATAGTCCTATGTCCCCTAGATGGGGCATGGGGTAAAGGGCGTCCACAGAGGTTCTCCATCTCGATCGGTCTTGAGCTTCTCGCTTCACCTGGCTCCACATCATTCCGTCATTTCCAATTTTCTATATATACCTATAAAATTAGTCTTTGAGGAGAATATTAAATAATTAACCAGATTTGTTACAGCTATTTTTTTATTTGGACGTTTGATGTATGTATGTTTGTTATACAATGACTGACTAAAACTAATTCGTAAAGAGTTACATAATATTTATATAATAGTCTGAGTGATGAATTATTGAGGAGCATAAACGGCTCTTGCACAACCTTGCCTTAAACAGGTTTAATAAAAAAATTAATAAAAAAATGTTTTCAATAGTGCATATTATGGTGCTGGAACTCATAGGTTAGAAGGTTAAAAAGCATATTAAGTGCATTTTTTTTGGTTAATAAATGTAAACAAAACAAATAAGAAAAATAATGTTATTCTATTTAACTTAAGGAAAATTTTAGAATAACTGGAAAATCCTGTATTATATACGAACTTTCGAAAGTTCTCTCAGTAAACGAGTTTAAGGACTGGTGCACATTAGATTGCATCGACAGTTTTGTTGGAACGACAGTTTTGTTGGATGGCCAGAGACTGTCGGCGATGATACATTTAGGTGTCGGACATACAGCCAAGATATCAACCAAGACTGCATACGCTTTTAAATGACCAGCCCATTCTTTAAAATAATGTATTATACATGTAAACAGTGTAGGTACGTTTATTTTGTAGACGCAAGACGAATTGAATGGAGGTGGCGTAAATCGAGTATTTATTTACGTTTAGTTAAACCAGCACCATAAAGACAAATCGATAGCTGATTGACGGCAAAAATATCGGTCTACTCTAATGTATAACAACTCTATAACGTATCACAGTAAAAACATAATTATCTAACTGTGTATGTATGTATCTATCACGAATTTTAACGAGCGTCCCTCAGTATCATACGTTCTTTATGAGTGAGTAGAGTGATAAATATCAGTCTATGCGAAACCGACAATATTTATACAAAGTGTTATTCTTGGTACACATAGAAAATGGTGCGTAACTTACTATATTTTACGCAACAAATAAATATAGGTAATTATAATATACATAGTTTTGATATTTTTATCATAACTTTTTTTTCAGGGCACCTTAAAATTAATCTTGTTTTTCTTGGCTGTTTTTCATTATTGTGAGTCTGCTAATATTTTATATGTGGTTCCTTTTACTTCGAAATCTCACTATATTATGTTAAAACCTATTGGTTTGGAGTTGGCTCGAAGAGGACATAATGTGACTGTGATTACTGGCCATCGGGTTGAGAATCCACCACCGAACTACCACCAGTACATGGTGGATGAAAAGGAAATTTGGGATGTTATAGGTAAATTTATTAATTATTATTTATTTATTTATTTGACTGACTTTGTTTATTATGTCTTCGCAAAATGGAATGTCGAGTTAGAGGCCTCGAGTGCATTTTGTGAAAGTGTTACGAATTATTTATTATTAGTGAACTTTTCGTAATATTGTTAGTAGCCCGAGGTCTTGATTTTTGCGTGGCGATGTTATTTCGATTGGAGCTAAGCATAATGTCTTTGGTCACGTTTTATGCTTTCTGAAGTCAACGAAAGTAGTACACAAATTATTTTGTAACATATCAGCCACTTCAAGTTTAATTTAATAGGACGGATGCTTATTACCGCAATTGCCATGCGTATATAACAAATATGAGGTCAAAAATATGTGCATTTGTTATTAAAATTCTATAACAATTTAAAATTGCATTCATACCTATGAAATATTGCATTTCCTTCATTTTATCAATTAAACCGCTTGATAAATAATGATAAAATTTAAGCTAGAGATAATACTGGGTACTTTTTCACATAACTTGGTTATTTGTACCTACACCTACTTTCTTATCTTTTATTATGTTAAACATTAATTTAACGACTGGTTTAAAAACAATAATAGCAATATAACTTGTTATAAAACTTGTTATAAAATATTTTCTTAAAATAGCAGATAAAGACCATTTTTAACCTTTACTAAAAATAGAAAACATTTTGGGGATTTTTCTCAATCAATTCTAGACGCTATCATAATGTATTTAGGTACAACTTTACTTGTCTTCTGGGGACACATAATACATGTGTTGTTTTTATGTAAAATCGTGTTTATTCATGTATTTTAATAACTATTCAATATACCACATAAAACACTATGTTTGACGCATGGTGCACGTGGAAAATGCCATAATACACTTTCCGCAGTTTACGTCGAGTTCTGTAATATATAGAAGACAAGACGATTATAATAATTACCATACACTAGATATAATACTAGACTATGTACCTACTATTATTGAGAATAAAAATAGGAAAACAATAATACTTTAACCATATATACTTTGCCAGTCTAGCTTGTGACTCCTCGAATAAGTACAATGAGGTAGTTAATTAATCCCTGTATTCTTCGCAGGAGGCAGCCGACCGAACGTATTCAAAATGGTCGAAATATCAGCAGAAAAATTCCACGAAAACGTACTATGGAAAGGAGGTCTAGCGTTTACCGAACTCACTCTAAACTCGACGCAAATCAGAAAACTATTACACGAAGACACCAAATTCGACTTAGTGATAAGCGAACAGTTTTTCCAAGAGGCCATGTATGTACTAGCCCATAAGTACAACACTCCGTTAGTATTGGTGACAACTTTTGGTAACTGTATGCGACATAACATAGTAGCAAGGAATCCCTTGCAGTTGGCTACAGTCATCTCAGAATTTTTGGACGTCAGAAATCCGACAACGTTCTGGGCTAGAATGAGGAACTGGTACTTTACTATATACGAATACGTCTACTGGAGATTCTGGTACTTAGAAGAACAGGAGAAGTTTGTGAGAAAGTATTTGCCAGATTTGCCAAAGCCAGTGCCCAGTTTGTATGATTTGCAGAAGAATGCCTCCCTCATATTGTTGAATGGACACTTTAGTTTTGATACGCCTGCAGCTTATCTTCCTAATGTTGTTGAAATTGGTGGAGTGCATCTGACTAAGAGTGATACCAAGTTACCTGAGGTAAGTCAGTTTTTTTAATAATAAATGAAAGATTTACATACAGGGTGTAAACAGAATGCTGCCGAAAAACGCCGACAGGTGATAGTAAAAAACAAGTTCTATTTTTATAAAAATAAGGAATTAAATGTTTATTTTGTGTAATAATAGTTGTATCAACTTTTTAAAGCTGATTTAACGAGAATAACACGTAAACAAATACGGTTAAAATTGTAAAATAAATATATTTTTGTCAGTGCATCGGGAGATATAAAAATACCTAAACATGTGTAATAATAGTCTAGACCATTTAGATGAATTAACATATTTTTATAACGAATGTCTAAAAATGTCAAATAAAATAATAATTAAGTTGCCTCAGACGGCGCGGCGTAGAATTTCGTAAAATATCACTTCTTTATTTGTCGCCTGTCGAGTTAGGTTATAGTCTATTTATACATATCTATTCTATAAGTCTATACATACATACATACTATACCTATAGTTTATTTTTATAGCTTTGATCTAGTATCGAGGTTAAACTACTAGGTACAAGGTTACTCAATGAAAATTAGTCTATGGAATAGTACAGTCTATATAATCTATCTCTTTTTTTTTTTTTTTTTTTTTTTAAGGGGGGAAAATCATCGAATGACTGCTCCCGCCCGGGTGAGGCGGAAGGGAGTGTCAGACTCTTACTGACTAAAAACCACCCCGTTCCTTCTCCTGCACGTCGAGCCGGAGCCCCGGTTACCCGTTAGGTTCTCCGCGACTCCGAATCGGCATCGGCCCTATTGGGCCCCATCTGTGGTGGTCTGATGGCTCTTTGAGGCGCGCGCGGAACGCGACGCGCCGTACGCTCGGGTCTGTTTCTGGTCGGACGGGGAGCCACCCATGCTCGCCGTCCGCAGGCCCGCGCTTACGGTGGCCGGAGATCGTCCCGCGATCCCCGACGCCCGGTGTGTCCTTCGCGATGGCTGGGTTGCGAGGAGGCAGCGCTTCGCTGCCTCACGCGTCCCGCCTCCTCCTTAGCCAGCATGACTGCTTCGCAAAAGGAGGAGACGGCATCCCAGTCCCCCTCGCTCCGCATCATGGCCTGAACTAGGCCCGGACGCGAGAGGTCTCCATCGCCGATCACTTCCCTGAGGGCACGGCGGTGCTCAGCCCACGCAGGGCATTCCGCAACAGTGTGTTCCACCGTGTCCTCAGGGTGGTCCTCGCAGTGATGACACCCGGGCGTTTCCTCCCGCCCCATCAGACACAGGTACCTCCCGAAACTTCCATGTCCGGTGAGGACCTGCGTCAGGCGGTAGGTGAGGACGCCGTAGCGTCTCTCAAGCCACTCCTCAAAGAGGGGACTTACCGCTGCAATGGCAGCGAACCCCAGCCCTCGGTTGCGACAGTCGTTGCTGCCATTCCGCCATGAGATCGCGCCGGAGCTCATCCCGCCACGCACTTATCTGGCGCGGCAGCGGAGTTTCGCCCCGGCGACGTGCCTCCGCGCGCATGCGATACACGCGCGCGAGCACCTTCGCCTCCAGATCCCACGGCGGTAATCCGGCAAGGAGGTTCGCCGACTCCCCAGAGATCGTGCGGTATCCGCGGATCATTCGGATCGCCATGACCCTCTGTGCCATAAGCAGCGCCCGAGCGGGCCGCTGCAGCAGGTTCGGCGCCCAAACAGGGGCGCCGTAGAGGGCCATGGACCGCACGACCCCGGCGTATAACCTCCGGCAGGAGGCGTTTGGCCCCCCGAGGTTGGGGAGGATGCGCTTAAACGCAGCCCCCACCCTCGCCAACTTTGGAGCCAAACGTCGGAAGTGCTCCACGAAGTTCCATCGACTGTCGAGGACGAGTCCCAGGTACTTCATCGCCGTCTCGACGCCGATGGTAACCCCTCCCGCCATTATTTGAGACCCACCAGGAGGTGGCGCATTCCCGCGGCCATGAAAACACATGGCCTCGGACTTGTGGAGCGCCACCTCGAGTCCCAACTGCCGGATTCTCTCAACGACTGTCGCAACCGCTGTCGCCATTAAATCGGCCGCCGCCTGGTGCGACCTCCCGTGCGCTAGCACCAGCGTGTCGTCGGCGTAGCATATCATGCTAACGCCGTTCGGGAGGTCGGTGCGCAGCACCCAGTCATAACCGATGTTCCACAGGAGCGGCCCCAGAACCGAACCCTGTGGAACACCGCGTGACATCTCTCGCCGGTTCCACTCGCCCCGGTGACCGGGGTAGATGACGGACCTGTCCGTCAGGTATGCCTCGATTACACGACGGAGGTAGGTAGGCACCCGATGATATCGGAGTGCCTCCAAGATGCAGCTCCAGGGCAGGGAGTTGAAGGCGTTGGCGATGTCCAGAGACACCGCCACTACGACCTTACCCCTGGACACTGCAGTCCCCGTCGTCCGGTCCCTAACGCGCATGATGGCGTCCACCGTGGAGCGCCCTCTGCGGAAGCCGAACTGGCCGTCCGATAGGTCCGGCCCAATATCCGTCAGGTGCGCGACGAGGCGGTTCGAAATGATTCTTTCGAAGACTTTCCCCACCTCGTCGAGCAGCACTATGGGCCGGTACGCGGACGGAGAGTCCGCAGGGCGCCCCGTCTTCCGCACGAGGACCAGTTTTCCCGCTTTCCAGAGCAGCGGGAACTGGCCTCTCTCCAAGCATGCGCTGTAGAGACCGATTAATCGAGGCCTGAGAGCCTCTGAGGCCAGGACCCATGCTTTGCCATGCAAGCCGTCGGGTCCTGGGGCGGTGTTCTTGGCGCCCATCCGGCGCACCGCCGCTCTCAGTTCTGCCTCGGTCACCTCTGGGACGATGTCGTCGTCGTCGTCGCTATAGCCCGCGTCGGGCACCGCAGGGGGCGGAGTCATATACGGAGGGGTGAAGCCCCTCCACAGCCGGGGGAACAGGGCGCCAATTACCTCCTCAACGACCTCTGGCCGGAGACTCTGAGTGAGCGGGGGAGCCCAAGCGCGAAGCTTGTCGCGTACCATGCGGTACGGGCGTCCCCACGGGTCTCTATTCAGAGTCCCCAGCATCTCCCGGCGGGCCTCCTCCTTGGCCCGCAATATCTCCGCCTTGAGGACGGCTTTCGCCGCCCTGTATCCCTCATACAACTCCGCCTCTCTCGCCTCCGCATTTGGAGGACGGAGACGGCGCCTGCGGTGCCTAGTGTACTGGCGTCGCGCAGCAGTGCACGCCTTGCGTAGAGCTGCCAGCTCTTGCGACCACCAGTACACCTGGCGCTTTTGTTGCCTCGACCGATCCGGGGCATCGCCACGTCACAGATCCTGGACATGGCGTCCTGGAGCCACTTGGCCTCATCGTCAATGTCGGCAGGCCTGACCGGTGGTATCACCCAGGCCTGCACGATGGCGGCTTCCAGGAGCAGCTCCCGGTCCAGCTGTTTCAGCGCCCAACGCGGGCTACATGGGGCCTGTCTGACCGGCGGATCCGCGGACTCGGCGGAGACGTTGAACCGGATATACCGGTGGTCGGAGTACGTCTCCACCTCCTCCATGACACGCCAGTCAACGATACGTGGTGACAGAGCAGGGCTGGCGAACGAAATGTCCACCACCGACTCGCCCTGCATCCGCACGCACGTAGGGACAGAACCCCGGTTCAAGACGACTAGGCCTGCTCAAGGGCCCAGTCTTCCACCATCCTACCCCGGACGTCGGTGAACCGGGAACCCCAAGCCAAATTCTTGGCATTGAAGTCCCCGAGGACGAGCACGGGGAGGGAACGGAACCCGACGACGACTGTGACCAACTCCATCAAGGAGTTGTGGAACTCGGCGAGAGTTCGGTTCGGAGAGAAGTACACGCCCACCACAGCGAGCTCTCCGAACCGTGCTGCGACACAACCCCGGCCTCTTTGAGCTGCCTCAAGAGTCGGGGTACCGGCGGCGGCCGATGAGATGATGGTCACCGAGCCGTCCAGGTCCGCCACCCAGTGATCCCTGGGCGGGACAAAGTACGGCTCGGAGACCACGGCGACATTGATCGACCACTGCGCCATGCTCTGGAGCAGGAGATCCTGAGCAGCGGCGCAGTGGTTAATATTCGCCTGGAGGAGGCGGAATGGAGCCATTATTGACAGTCCATTCCGATCTCCTCAGTAGCGGCAGCGGCGACTGCGGCGGCAGTGGCGGCGGCGGCGGCGGAAACGGCAGGGGTGGCGGAGGGCCTACCTTTGCCCTTGGGTTTGGCAGGAGGGGAGCAGCCCTTGCTCCCGACCCGGTGATTGGCCGGCTTGCCAGCCGCCGCACATGCGTTGCAGTGCAGCGGGGCAGTGCAGGAGCCGGCCTTGTGACCGGGCCGACCGCAGCGGAAGCAACAGTCGCTGCGGTCCACCTCTGAGGTGCATTTGGCGCTCACGTGCTCCCCCACGTGACAACGGTAGCACCTCAGAGGCCGGGTCTCGAGCAGCTTTACCTGCGCCGAGACCCATCCCACCAAGAGCCTTTTGCCCTCCTTCAGCTTCTTGGCCGCTGTGACGGGGCAGCTCACCACCACCGTGCGCAGCCCCGAGTTGTCCGGACGGATGGTGCCCGCCTTGATCTGGTCAGCAGGGCACCCTCCCGTCCTGGCCACAGCGGCCACCACCTCACTTTCCGTGACGGAGTCGTCCAGGCCCAATATCCGGACATCCACACATTTGGTGGGCCTGGACACGCGGGCCTCGTCTGCCCCGAGGCACGCCCTAAGCCTCTCAGCCAGGGCGTCGGCCGACGGGCCACTGGCCGCGCCGGGGACCTCCAGTAGACGGGCTCCGGTAGCGGTCACCTTGACCGCAAACCCGTCCGGGGCCCCGAACTCCGCAGGTGTTACCGCCCCCTTGAGCTTGGCGAGGACGTCACCATAGGTAACGCCCCTATTGACCGCCTCGGGCTGCAGTGTAATAACTACAGCCGCGGTCTTAGGGGCGAGGAGCAAGGCAGCAGCGCGTTTCTCCCTGCGCTGCTGCTGCCGTCGCTGCCGCTGCGCCTTTTTGCGGCGCTTTCGGCC